GCGAGTGACGCATCCCTCGTGTCATTGGTGCTGTTGCATTACATTCAGCTACTGCACTACAACAACACAAATGTTATAAAGCTACTGTTTTCCACGAATCACTTTCTAAGTTTTTTGATAGCGTCATTTAAGAAACAGGCATTTTAAAAATAATTAACATATTTTCCATACAGTAGGTACACTGCAACTATTTAAAAAAGTAAGAATGAGTATATTATTAAATTACTATTGTGCATACCGGTCATTTTTTTTTGCTTGGGTTATGCCGCTATAAATACCACATGCATAGACATAAGTGTACTGACATACCATTAACATACAATTTAGTTATGAAAACGTGCGCTCAGTTTTACTCCGGACGGCCGTCAAGAGAGATATTCTGATTAAACTTTGCTATATTTAGCCCAACCACGCAAACAAACTCTCCAGCAAAAATAGAATGGCACTAATGCGAAACTGCATTAACCTAAGAATTTATAACTAATGTTTTGACATTGATTACAAAAATAAAGCATCGTTATTCACACAAAATGGATAATACATTTTTGTTTGACCACGTTTCTGAGACTTTAAGCATGCCATGCTAACTACGCTGACGATATTTTGATCTACGTTGCTACGACGACGCGTCTACGCACTTGCTACGTAACGGGCTACGAAAAAATAAGCATCGAAGTGTACTTACCTAAGTACACCTTACTTTATTACAGTTGTGTAACAAATTAACCGTTTCAGTTTGACCTGTATGTATGAACATGATTATCGCGCGATAAGCTAAACCCGTTTTGATAGACTTTTCAGAAAAGTGTTAGCTCCACTTAGGAGAAGGTTTTAGTATAATAATATATCAGACTTCAAAAAAGAGGGGATGCCGTCGATTTTTTAAACGTAGTTTATGAAACAATTATTTTATTGTTTTAGTGATTTATTATTGTCTATAAAAATCTGAATCAGCGGTAGGTACTTATTGTTTTACAAATATATATGGGAAAAGAGGAATAATATTAGACGCAATAAAACAAAATTCTGAAAAATCGACTGATAGTTGTTTATTATTACAATTTGAAAAATTCGCTTGAACATGATTCGTGTATTGGTATAACGTACAAACAGGTCGACAGAGATTAAAAGCAGAAACTATTAGAGTCATAGCGTAGGTACTATAATGTCTTTATCTTTACCCAATACTAGATAGAATGTTCTATAAGTATGTAAGTATGTACTTACGCTTATATCCGCACAATTGATACAGTACACAATTTGGCGTGAAGCGATGTATGTATTTATATTTTAGTTTCACCAAAATGTAACATGGACAAGAAACAGGTTTAAAATAAATTAAAACAATTTCCAGAGCAACTACAGGATACAAAATGGAAGAAGTTGACGTAAACGGTGCTCATTGTTAATGAGCCTTCTAAATACCTCTTGGTACTTGAGCCAACTCCTTACAAATTACGTAGCATCTTTAAAATAATGCATTCTTTGTCTTTGTTAAATGTTTTAATTATTCGGGGCGATGTCCGTTCTTCTCGGTCGTACTCATTTAAAAGTATCACCTTGATTACTTCGTGTAAGTTAATCTTCGGGATTTTAATCGATTCGCCAGATACTGGAGATTACGATAAAGCCTGTCTAGCCGTTTCTCACAGTTTCTTCGAGTACATCATCAATTCTAGTATTGAAATCTCAGCAAGATAAACGTCCCAGGTACATATCTTAAGTACCTATGTAGCCACTGGTCTAATCAAAAATCCAACGGTTACCAGATTGAAGTGGTTTATGAATAACCCACGTCATAAATATACGTTTTTGTTTTAAGTTGTCTGATAAGTTCGGGCATTGTTAATCGTATTCGTCCACCGCTATCAGTCACTTACATAAAGATAATGTTCAGTCAGCGTGACAAACCGCGTTCTAATTTTGATTGCTGCGATATAACTTTGTAAAATAATTTTAACAGATTTCTAAGAATACAGATTTCTATTAGCTGTGTTTCTAATGAACATATATAAAATGGTATCCCATTGTGCAATGTTCCATACTAAACATAAATAATAGACGTTCTGATTTACTATATTTCGATAAATTTTTACAAAATAAATAATTTCATCAATCTGTAAATGAAAAATAAATTTTCGTTCCTTTGTCCATTTTCTATAGTTTTCTACACTGATAACTACATGGATTTGATGTATTGTTTATTCATTATATTATTATTTCAATTAGTTCATAGCTAAATTACCTAGCCAATGGTTGACTAAACGCAAATTCACATTAGATACCTCATAAATACTAACTTATTATTTTTTTTATTTACTGTCGATGAAAACTTTAACCGATGCCTATCGTTGTCTTTTTCATTAGCGATTAGACTGTTTATTTTCAATCAATATTTATTAATGTAATGTTTGTCCCTGTATTAAAACAACCCCTATTATTAACTATTATACCTACCTCGATTTTTGTGTCAAAATAGGTCATTATATTTCGTTGCTTTTCCCTCAACACCCACACACCAACACACCTTCAGATACATAGATTTGTGAGTGTCTTCCACGTACCTAACGTATTTTTTGTTTGCTCTTCGCCTTCGCTAACTTGTAGTTAAACATAAATTGTAAATGGTACAATATGTCACCTACTGGTCTTCATTTAGATAATTTAATAAATAATATAGCTTGGCATCTTCGCAGGGCTTTCACGCTAAGGGTAATTTAACATTTCCATTACAGTGCACTACTTGGCAACCCATTAGCTTTCGTTACACAATGCACGTCACACATTGCTTACGTGATAAGCGAGGGACAAATAAATACAACTGCCTACATTTTTTTAAATAAACCTAATTAACTAATATTTTTAACACGCTTTTATTCGACTTGTAACCAACTATGTATGTGTACCTAATCTAAGGATTTGTATTACTCATATTTCTAATTATTGTATCTTCATGATAATTACTGATGAACCCTTGGTTCAGGTATTTACTTCTTTACTAACATATGAACTTTTGGCTCATTAGATATTTCCATTTCTTCTGATATGAGGACACAATAATACTATTAAAAGCATATTTTTAGTATTTTAAATTATGAATTTATTTATCGCACTTACTTACACAGCAGTTAACAAGCTTACCGGCTCGCCGATGGTAAACGGTATCCGTGCGTCGTCGTCTACGTTTTACGACTATTACGAGTCCTATAGGCTACACAAATTATAAGGATTTAAAAATCTAGAGATCAATGTTAAACTTTACTCTATTATAGATATTTGTTTTCAACTACCTAAATCTTCAATCAGTGTGTATGTAATATGTTCTAATGAAAGCTTCGTTTGTAATTTGCAGGACAAGTTAAAAATAAAGTGATTTATACTTTTAATGTTTTCCTAAAAGTATGAAGTAAATAAAAATGTGTATGTAACATTCACATAAATCCTCACTAATATTAGAAATGTAAAAATGTTTTGTTTGTTTATCTGTCTTTCTTTCACATCACAGCGGCAACGAGGGAATATTTAGTAGGCCAGAGAGTGATTATACATTTATTATGAATTACTTTTTTACTATTAGGTAAGGTGTATACCTTACCTAATATACACTCTCGAGATACTGGACAACAGTGCATAGATACTAATAAATCTGAACCTTTTAAACTACGATCTCCAAGCGCCAAACGAAAATAATATGGTAAACCCTTCTTGTGTAGAGGAGGCCCATAGTCCACCAGGTGGTCTGTTGATGATGGTCACGTAGTACCTACTTAGATCTGATTTTCGTCATCTGATTTCTCATCTTCGTCTGGATACCTATGACGGACAGATAGAAGTAACAATAGTTTTAAGTATTTGCGTGAACGTTTGTACAAGTAATCCATATCGAATCATGGCTTTTTTCTTTTTTATTAAGAGGAAAATCTTTGACTGACTTCTCCCGCCTAGGTGAGGCGGGAGGGAGTGTTAGACTCTTACTGACTAAAAACCACCCCGTTCGTACTCCTGCCCTTCAAGCCGGAGTCCCAGCAACTCGTTAAGTCCTCCGCGGCTCCGCATGTCGATACCCTATTATATATTAGCCTTATAGGGCCCCATCCGTAGTGGTCTGTTGGCTCTTTGAGCAAACGCAAAGCGCCGTGCGGTCGGGTCTGGTTCTGGTCGGGCGGCCAGCTACTCATGCTCGCCGTCCTGGCTCTATAGATTCAGACCGAACGCAGTGCGAGCAACGATATAGTGAATTTTATTTCGTATTTGAGCGGATGACTCACATCTCAAGAGGTTTTTTTTAGGTATTTGGTCCCATGATTGAAAATCTTGTCTTTGACTGTTAGTCAAATGCAGTCAAATGTTAGAATCATAGAATCTGACCAATGACACATTTGTTCGGCAGTAGGTAGTACCTACTAGCGACCATCCGACCATCAGGGTAATTAATTTATATTTACATAAAATTATTGGAAATATCATGTACCTACCAACATTAGATTTCTCATTAGGTACATTATTCCCTCATTGGTAGAGTCGTAAGCGCGACTTCCAAGCAAATATTACCTAACATGTACCTACTTCATCATTTCAGTTCCATTTTACATAACATAACATAACATCACGCCTTTTATTCCCGAAGGGGTAGGCAGAGGTGCACATTACTTAATGCCACTGTACAATGCAATACCCACTTTTCACTATTTATGTTATGAGTCCCATGTAATAGGGGGTGAGCCTATTGCCATATATCGGGCACATTTCCAGACTCCGTGCTACTACTGAGGTTTTTACAAACCCAGTAATACTTTGCCCGACCCGGGAATCGTACCCGAGAACCCTTGCCTGGCAGTCGCGTTGCGTTAAAAAGTACAATTTTTGAAAAAAATCGAAGCTATCAGAAAAATTAAAACTTTGGGCGAATATTCGAACTGTCAAAATGCATCTCGCATGACAGTGATAATATATGTACGACCTATTATCTATTTATTTAATAGAAACTTATAATTTTTCAGAGTGGTGGTGGGCAGGCGCATGCGTTGGCGCCGCTGTGCTGGTGTGTGCGGCCGCGGGCGCGCTGGCCCGCCCGCACCTGCGCCGCCGACACGCTGCCGCCGCAGCCGCCGCCGCCAACCCCGTGAGTCGTTGTATTACTATTTTACGCAAACATACACGTAAACATAACATATGTACCTACCTGTTTTACTGATAGATAAAAAACAATACATTTCCTGTTGGTTTTTATCATTAGACTGTAGAATGTATTTATGTAAGAAAGACTACAAAATGTACATGCATCAGGTGAAAATGGTTTGAAATAAAATAATTAGGTACTTATAGAATAAGTACTTAATAATTCTGATACCATGAGAATGGAGAATGCAAAAAATATTTTGATTAGGTACTTATATGAGTTACGATTATTCACACTGTTATCATTTTCATAGGGGAAAAAAGATAAATCCAGGAATCAAATGGTGGTCATGCGATAGTCCTAATTGCGAACCGACATTCGATTTATTGTTGCATAAGTATTTTCAATTCAAAAATTTTTGGCACGCCTTTTTTTCTTATAACTGATGATAAATATTACTAGAAGTGGTAAAGTAGAAACATGTAAGTATACAATCGAAGTAGGTGGATAAGTAGATACAGTAAGACAAAAATAATATTCCTATCAATGTGTAAACGAACAGGATTTTTTACGAATTTTAAATTTAATTGTTCGTACGATTTACCGTAATATTACTAGTAGGTAGGTACTAGGTAGATGTTTGGTTACATAATCGATCTTGTAACAACTAGAAATCGAAATTTAAAACATACGATGGTACTTTTCTTTCTAGGGTACTTACTTGGAACTGAGTATCACTCGAATTATTTAACATATTATTATGAAGGTATGTATTCAAAAAATTAAATTATTTTAAAGGGAGAAAATACAATTAACACCTATGATTATTGGTTACGTGCGTTCTATGACTACAACTCGATCATTGAGCAATGCCAACAGTCTCGTCTCGGGAGCCGACAAACGCGTCATCGCTCACTATTACAGTTATAGGTGCGCATATATAACAACTACGACGGTAGCAGCAATCGAGCTTCTTTTACATGTGTGCCAGCTCATATGCACACATACGATACGCTCACTATAATCTACAAACACACTCACTCGCACTGGCAACATCGTATCATCGCACCTACCGAAGTACCGATTGAGCACACAAAGTGAACTAGACAGATTATTTGTATGTGTGAGAGAGCAATGTTACACACAACGAAAGCTTTAGTGTGCGGCGACATCGGGGCAGCCGGTGCACCGCCCGCCCGCCCGTCCTCCCCGCTACGCGACTGCGAACACCGCGCCGCGTCCGTCCGCGTCATTGAACAACAAGACTCGCTCGATGGCAGGCGTCTTTCTGCCAATATGAAAAAAGGAGTTAAGAAACTCCATCACAAAACACGCGATAGTGGAATTTATACGTTATCCTTAATTATTAAATAACTTTATTTTTATAGTGTTAATGCCTTGAATAACATATTTTTATTTATTAGTGAATTATAGTTAATTATTGTAAATGCGCTAATCTCTCTATAGTGCTCTGTGATTGTTTTGTTTAAAATATTTACAGCTTCAACAAAACAAATGCAATGTCAGTGATTGTGTAGTGAAATTAAAATAAAATTATATGTTCGTGATCGATTCACCTATTTGTGTCTCGATTAGAGTGCCATCGAATTTGGATATATGCACATCACTAACTGTCATCCATAGGTGGAAAACCTACAAAAATTGTGGACGACACTGTTTCAAATAGTAAGTAGTGTTGATATAGTCGTAAATTATTTTGATTGCAAAAGTAACCTATCGCAACGTAAAAAATTGATACATATGTTTCTATTAGTTTTTCCCTTCTAAAAGGACTGGTTTTGTAACCAATAACTAGTAAATATCATGTGGAATATGGATAGAATAGAAGAATGTTTGTACTGGAGCCGAGTGAGGCCCGAGGCGACTCGGATGGCCGCGAGACGGCGGGAGCGTGCCAAGTGATAAGAGGCGCGCCGATAGCGACGTCACACCCAGACGTTGTTTGTGTGAATTTAAATAAATTTTCATGACAGACAGTTCCGTAATCACCTCTTGCTGTATCATAGTCGTGACATGCCAACTCGATAATATGTGCACAACTTGAAAATATACTCGGCAAAAACAGTGGGTATACTCTCAGTTGACAGAATTTAAGATTATCTTACAGTCTTTCATTCATGCAATTGATAATAAAACTAATTTATTGATAGTGTAAAGCATTTAGAAAACAGAATGTGTCACAACCTAATGTAAAAAATACTGATAACATTATTGTCACAACACAATAGTTATTTTGTGCATCATATCAATATAATTTGACTCACACTATCAATGTTCTCCGTCTGAAGGTTCTTAGGAGTATTGAATAACATTGTGTTATTATATTGAAGATGCATTTAAATTCATTGCTGCTTGATGCCGTCTGTCAGTTGATTGTAATCAGAATGCTGACAATGTAGTTAAAATGTGACACATTATGTATTACCTTTGGCAAGTAGCTACTCCCGACGCATATGTTATAAGGATGAGGAAAGTGGAAACAAAAAGATAAAAGAATTGATAATCATCTAGATATAAAAGTTAGTGATACTGATGACATTTCAATAGACATTGTTATCACACGACAGACAGTATACACACTGAGTTCTACTATAGTCCAAGTATAATAGTTGCCTGTGGCACATATTATCTTCATTTCATTGCCAATCATGATTTGAAGGTTATTCCATAAAACACAAACTCCTTGAGAATAAAATGTAATGCTTATAACTAAAACAGAATAAATGTACCAAGTAGTCTGTGACTTTAGTGTACCATATATGTTTTGGTTATTATTACTCACAACCAGATCATAACCAGTCTTATTTATGCATAGTGAACAACTAAATTTTAATATCCTTAAAAAATTATATTTTTGCTTTTTATGTAGATGATAAATTTAAGTAATAATATTGACTACCATTTTTCTATGCACCTTGAACAAACATTTTGCAAAGAAACTAAAAGACTTGTAAATATGAAATGTCACCTGTATCATTGTCTCTACTGTTATAGGCAGGCGAACTATTCCTTCAGCTCAAAGATTGAGAATGTTTAAGGGCATTACCCTGTACAAGCATTATTTTGATTCAGATAAGTATAATCATTGAAATGTTGACTTTTTATGCTTTCTGTTATCAAAATATTAGTTTGTATTTCTAGGAAAACATTGTGAATCGAAAACACCTTTCTCAGTTGATAACTGATTATTCATGCAAACAAAAGAATGCTACAGTGCAATGACCTCGTATACCTAAATACTTGTTTACTATTTAAAAGTTATCAGGATTTATCAATAACAGAGTTGAAAAACATGATATACCCAACCCACTGAGTACTGTTATAACCTTATCTTGTTCAAATTATAATAAGAAAAAGGAATGACATTTTATCAACAACAACAATACTATTCCAGCCAAATGAAAAGATATTATTGTAGTGCAAATTCTGATTGTACAAATTCCAATATAGATTATACTGGAAAACAAAGTCCATAGATTATCTCAATCAGCTGAGAGCTAATCAGCACAACAGTACAGAAATGTTTAAAAATCCCTTAACAAAAAGTACTGTCTGTACTTTTTTTTATTACTGGGGAAACCTTCAAACGCCGCCTATTTTGTTGGGGATAAAGGACCCTAGTCTTTCTACACCCTAGTGTGTGGGATTTTTACCTCACTAACCACCCCGGTAGCCACCATCAACACCTGTACGAAGGCACTGATTCCTCTAAAAGAGACCTGCTTCGGAGCCTCCACGATGCAACACCCGTTACGACACATCCCTAAAGAGACGGGTGTCTCCTTAAGTCTTGTTGTATACTTACCACTATGCCACCATCTTCCCTGGAACCAACAGGGTGAGCACCGAGTCCACACATGTGGCCCTAAAGGTCCGCCTGAAGTTGATGCAGGCGGGATTTCGGCGTATTAGAAGTCAAGGTGGTTACCTCCTCGACGCCTTCTTCGAACAGGATCGGCCTTCTCGTGATCCCGCTCGCCAGCTTCCGTTTGGGACATTATTGTCTCACAAAAGGAGGCCACTTCCCTTCAATTTTCTGTATCTGCCAGCATAGCCTTAACCGCTGGCAGAGACAGGTCTCGCCCGAAGTAGGTTTGTACCTACTTTTAAAGGAAACAAATGTTACTTAGTTAGATGTAGAGAACTGACAGGTTAACTTTATTGAAAACTGACAGGTGACTTCTAATTACTAATATAACTTGCTTGTTCTATCTTAACCCGTTGAAATTCATCCCCTAAATTTGATCATACAAAAGTAGTCTCTAAACATTGGAAATAAGGTCTATAATGTAATGTAATATTAGTGGAGAGCGGTCACCGGTTCAAGGTACATTTATCCCATGAATGGTACAAAATTTTATTGTAGAACCTAATTATTGAAGACAAATCTAATTAGGTTTAACAAAGCCATTAAAAAAAACTTAACATGGCAATACGCATTTCTTTCTTCATTTAATATGCATTTCTATATAGAAATGCATGCATGCATATAAAATGCATATTTATTTGCCCATTTTTTACTAATAAAAAATGTACTACATTATATTTCTATTATCCATGCTTAATATCAACCACAATTATTCTTATTGCAATGTTAATCAATTTAGTTGCAATTAACTGTTATTTTATTACAATTTATGTAACAATTAACTAATTAATTGAAATCAATAATAGCTGCCACATATCAGTTTGCAAATTAGCTGATAAATTCTTCTATGTAAAATTCCATTATTGCTTGAGGTAAAATTAATTAATATTGGTTTGATAAAATATTAACCTATATAATGTGACCAGGCACTCAAATTCCGTGTTTTAGTAATATGTAAATGCTGATTTAAGTAAATAAACATTAATATCAGACAGTTTCTGATGTAATTAGATAAATATGATGACTCAGTATGTTTATAATATAACTTCAGCTGCATACACATATTCTAAAGGTGCAAAGTTCAATTGAAAGGTAGACATGGCACAAAGTACACTCAATAACAACAATAATAAAATTATATACCTAATTATTCTACATAAGCTATGCATGTATTGTATAGTGTATACCTATTACATAGATTAAAAATCTTACTATGACTATACTTATTGGGTTCTTGGTTTTCTTTTTTCTGTTAAGTTACATACTAAAGAAATATAATTATTTATTTATTTAACACTTTGTGTACAACTATATACAATGGCGGACTTAATGCCGAATGGCATTCTCTACCAGCCAACCATAGGGTGATGCAGAGAAGTGCTACAGTAGGTTTTAAAAGAAGTTTACATCTATCGAAAAAAAATAAAAACGAAGGTGATAAATGTACGTACATATAAAGGTATCCTAGTACATAAACTACATACCAATACTACATACTAATATGAAATATAATATAATATAAAAATAATATAATTACTACTCAGCGTTTATCTAATTTGATACTTATGTTAGTACCACAAGGTGCATTCTTTATGATGTTTGTTACCTAAATCAGTATAATTTTCTTGCAAACCATCCAAAATGTTAATATTTTGCACAAAATTTTGGACAGCTTGCTGTCAATTTACCTTAAATGTGTTGCTATCTAATGAGGCATTAAGAAAATAAGGCAAATTAAAACTTTCCGACTCCCAAAAGTTTTCTTTAATATATATATATATATATCTAGTCTACCCTTGGTCTACCCTACCAATTACAATTTCAATTGTAAATAATGCGTTTTTAAAATATCTACTTCTTTTATTGATGAATTAATCTTAGTGTTCCTATGATATATTCTAATTAGCTTTAAGTACAGAGGCTTTTACTTGAGTGAATTATACTATACTCAAACCTGAACCCTATAATTTTAATCTGTCTTCCTTGGGCTCTACTCCACTACTGGAAATTGATGTATGATTATATTTTGTCATTATTTAAATTTTAGTTTAGATAGGCAGCAGTTGTAAGAAAGTAGTACTTATAGTGATAAAATATTAACCCCGAGGATAACCACATAAGTGAGAGTAGTGTGTTGTGATTTGCAGATGCTCTCGGTACAAGTGCCGGGGTGCGCGGGCATGGAGCGGCTGGGCGCGCCGGGGGGACCGCGCCTACGGCACGATCACAGACATCACCATTCCACATTGTGAGTACTCCTGGCCATTCAACATTGGACCTCATAGCCGTTTCGGATTTCCGCTTCACAGAATTACGTATCTGGACTAGTAACACCAGAATATGTTAGGTGTTTCTTTACCTTACACGTCATGTAGGTATATACCTGATAGGTACTTGATAAAAAACGAGGTCTAGCATATCACACATTTCGCTGTTGTGGCATTTATCACCAAGCCATACCTAATCAGTATTGTAGATAGTAGGCTAGTTACCTTAAACGGAAGTCCTTTCTGTTTAGTCCTGATATTAAAATGAAGGTCGAACAGAATGGAATAAAAAACAATTTACATTGAGAAGGAACTCTACAAGGCAGTTGATTCACATTAGGATCATATGTCCTATATAATCTCTCAAACATACCCAAACCACTTTTAGTAGTTTAGGTGATCCAGGGAAAAAAGAAAATTCTTAAATGTAATAGCAGTACTACTGCGCAGTTTGACTCAGCTGTTCAGTACCTACAACTATGGACAGGTTGGACTTCTACTTTCTTTTAGAATGTCCTACAATTTAATCGATTGCCGGCGATTTGTGTTTTATACAGCCATTAGTATGGGTTTAATTGAAGGATGATAAGAGATTAATGAAATTGTTTTTAAATTCCAGGGAATGGGAGAAGCAGCAGAGGTTACAGGTGCAGGCGATGGTGGGTCGGCTGCAAGAGATGGTGGAGCAAGATGTACGCGCGAGGTCCGCGGCCGCAGCCGAGCGGCTCGGTCTGCCGCCCAGCATACAGTTGCCCGACGGCGAGTATGGGCAGGACGTGCATCTACAGTTACGAGTCCCTTATCAGGTATTATATCATTCTAAATTATTTCTAGACAACTGTAACATTCATTAATTCTACGTTTCTCATTGACCGAAACCATCTAAACGATACGGTATTATGATTACAGCAAGCCGAGCTGACGAGAAGCAGCTTCCAGCCTCCACCGAACAAGTGCGTGAGCGACGTGCCGGAGTGGGCGGGCGGTGCGGAGGCGGGCGCGGCGCGGCGCGGCAAGAAGGACGGGCTGCTGCAGAAGGCGACGCGCTGGTGGGTGCGCATGGGCGCGCGGCCGGCGGCGCCGTTCCTGCCGGCCGCGGCGCCGCCGCCGTGCGTGATGGTGCCGCGCCGCGCCGCGCCCGAGCCGCCCGCGCCGCCCGACGCGTGACCGCGCGCGCCGAGTCCACGCTTACATTCCATATCCGGGCCGCTCGGGCCGCGCGCGCCCCGGACTCTTATAGACTTGCTATTTATTTATTCGGGAGTGCCGCGCCGCGCCCGTGTTCCTCGCGCCGTCTGAGAGTTTCGCGAAAACTAAGACTGAGATAAAGTAAAAAGATATAACGTTATAAAGTCTACGTTGAAGTATGTTGTCTTAGGTGAAATTGATTCAAAATAGAAACGATTAAAGTTATATTATAATATTTAATGAATCTTTCGGCATGGCCCTCGATGATATCGTGTATTAGCCGAGGGTCCGTCGATGGTGAGCTGATGTCTTGCAGTGTACAGTTTCATGTTTAAGTGACCTATTTTAAAGTTTAATTTCTATCCAGCAGCTATAAATCTGTGTTTAAACAACTTTTATATTTATTTATAATTGTATGTAAAGGATGCATATCAGTACAGTAAACACAAGGAATATTAATTTACGTTGCATAGTTACTATTTTATTGTAAATATTGTCTCTAATTTAATATTATTAGATTAATTATGGCTGAACGCCAGAACCCGGGGGTCTTTTCAATTGAGTGTTTGCTACATTCCATATTTATGTTGAAATATTCTCGATAATACTTACTGTACTAGTTGCTTCTACCTGTTTACCTGTAGTCCTTGTATGTCTGTAACAATATCACGACTGTCTGTAGAGTGGGGCGCCGCGCGCCGTCTGTGTCGATACCTAGTCATGCTGACAATAATTGACAATTAGTGACTGATATTTAAAATGCAGATGAATAGAAATCTCATTAGAAAATAGACAAAAAGAAAAATATTAAACGAATTAGTTATAAATTAGCTGTTTATTATTTATATTGTTCAGTCGGCGAGACGTGTGCTGCATATTGTTGTGGTTAGAGATTCGTAGCTAATGTTTGATAAGTTTATCGCTACTCTCCTCTTTAACTGCCGCCACCTGTGTGCAGTATAAGTTTCGCTGGCCATTATTGAAGTGTCACGACAGTCATTAACTTGTTTACTATCCATGATATCATCAACAGATACGAGTTGTAGTGTTTTATCATTACCATTGTCTTACTCATACTTACAAAGAAACACCGTTTGTTAGTCCATTGAACAATAATGGGCGCTCGCCTAATCATCCATATTTTAATTAATAGTTTGCAGTGAACACTTGTATTTTTCCTGTACATATTATAATGTATCAAAAAGTGTTTTGATTTCTAATACAATTACGGGTCTTAAGCCTAACACTTGCCGTTAGTAGCTACAATGCTGGATGCTAAATAAAGGTATTTTACAATAAAATGGCGCAATAAATGTAACTTTTAACTGTTATAAATATAGCAATTTCCACGAGCTTCTTCCTATCTCGAAGGAAACACTTAAAGATATGTTAATTTAGATAAAAAAAATTCTAGTCGCTACCACTTGTAGTTTGATTCTATCCAAAACTGTTATATAACTTATTTATGAAAGCTTGAGGATGTTCACGTATTTATATCGTGCTCTGGAATTGTACGCAGCACAACACGACAAAGGAAGTAAATTGAAATGTGCCCTATTTTCCAAATACCTATAACATAAGTACGTTGTTGTTACTTAAGAGATAGTGTAGTGCATTATTATCGCGAGTGCGTGTGAGCGTGAGTGTTGTCTCGTTGCATAATGTATGTTTGAAGCGAACTGTCGGTTGTTTGTATCGTTAGTAAAATGGCACAAAAGTTTGCGCATTTTATTGAATCTATTACATTGACAGCATTGGAATGCTATACGCGGCCATTTTTACGGACTGAAACATAATGTAATGTTCAAAATATTAAATGAAATAAGTAATTATAATTACTTAAAACTGATTTGTTTTGTATATTTATTGTTTGTCTTCGATGTTTACATAATGGCGATTGATAAATAGTTCATTGAAAGACAATTTAGTATTTATTTTAAACTACTTGTATATACTTAATGATGGGTAAAAAGGGACAGCGTGTGTCATTGAATTCATGGCTTTGGTAATGATTTTCAACACTAGTTGAAATCCCATTGAATAGTTGTGGACTATTCTGTGATCATTTTAGTAAAATTACCATTAATATGAGGGTCAGTCTAATTCAGCATTCAAAAATATTAAACTAAAATTGTTAAAAAAAATTACAATTTTATTTCATTACAAGGAGTAAAAAAATGTACCAAACCTAACTTTACCTTGTCACAAGCTGTCCTTTCTACTTTATATAAATAAGTAAATATTGTTGTGGCCTACGTCTTAAAATAGAGGGGTCTGTTCATTACACACAAATTATAGCATAAAGCGTAAAATGTGCATGAAAAGAATTTCTCTATTGAGTTTCCTCAGTGGCATAAATTGAGTTGAGCATCCCTAAATGATCGAGTTGTACAGTATTCTGCATAACAGGACAAAAGTATAGAAATTAGTTTTGCTATTTCTATATTTTTGTTTTTAATTTTACGGTCACAAGTATTGTAATACTTAAAGCAGCTTATTTATATCATTTATTATGTCCCGCCATGTTTTTTTGTTGCCTTAAAATTACGATTAGTGTCGAAAATGCTATTTTAGCAATCGTTGTACAAAATGCTGACGGAAATATAAAAGTTGTTTAAAATAGTTTCACAGAATATATATTTAATCTAGATATCAAACAATATTCCATTTGTCATATTAATAAGTAAAAGCAGAAGCAAATGTTTAATAATAAAAGAAAACTGCATTAAATTATGACCTACCAATAATGAACAACGATTTTTATTTCTCAATTCCACAAACGTTTTACAATTTTAATTTTTCAAAGTTGCCCTATGTTTTATCCTTTGGGATACTTACAAACACAAAATATCACAATGTGATATTATGTGTTAAGTGTCGTAAATTTAATATAAAATTTATGGATCTTCAAAGAATTGCTCTATGTGGGAATCGAACCGCAACACTTTCCGCAACATCGGTCACCCAGCCAATACACTAACCGCGCAGAGGTCTTCAACTAAGAGACTACAATAAAATATTATAATATTTGTCTTCTAAAAATAACATATTCCACTTCAGTCTCAAGTATTGCATAGCTCCAGCTCCAGTCATTCTCCTCAGAACTACCTTTCTGTATAAAGAGGCCAGCAGCCTCACCACAATACCAAATTGACCGTTGTCCATTCTGCCTTCCTTGCCTTGTGAAAGGCAGCGAGAGAGTTGTTCACTTATATTGTAAAAAAACAGTTAAATAGCGCAAGAGTACATGATCTCATCAGCATCGCAATTAGATTATCAAAAACTTATAGAGAACTTTACGGCTAGCTAGGTAATCGACGGTAAGTAGGTCAAACAAAAGGTTTAATCACTGATATGACAAAGGTTAAAGACTAAGGCATTAATTAACATCATGAGGAAACTTGGATTTATAAGTCTGAAATCCCCAATCCCCATTAAGTGAGAAAGATAATAACAAAGAAGGAAACCATTATCTCCTTCTCCGTATAAGAAGAGGCCTTTGAACTTTCTTAAATAGTAGGCACTTTATACACTGTTAATGTACTGCAAGTACAAGGCTGTTGTACAAAATAATATTAGAAAGTATATACAACTCAGAAAAGTCACATTGGTATATGCCAGGTTTTGATTGAACCAGCACTCTCATGTCTTAGCTTTTAAATAATAATTATCTTAATTTTCTAGCCATGGACCTAAAAAGAGGTCCTTTTTTAAATAATTTCAGTTTAATCTGGCAACACAATTTAACTGTCAAAAATTAGCGCGAAAGAAGAGAGTGAACAAAACTTTATCTTTGATTTATTTATTGAGTTTATGATCGATTCAAAACAGGTGATAATTGATTAATAAATGTTTTTTAAATCCTAAGTTACTTTATTTCGGTGCTTGAAGGAACAGGAAGACGAAAATGCAAATGTATATTGACTGGTGAGTATACACAAAAAAATAACCTAAAAAAAATATTTTTATTTACTCTCCTAAATTAAATAATGTGTAACATATGATTGTTATCTTTAGTATTACCACTTACGTGCGTGGACATTACTCTCCTAAGCACCGCCAAGTGACCACTAAAGTTGCATTAATGTGAATAAGTATTATTATACACTAATAATAAATTATGAAACACTATTACTATTCTGCACTCCAAAAGTTTTACCAAATTTTAATTACTTATTTAGGAATATTTATTGGTGGTATATCATAGTTTATGATATTGGTTTTACAATGTAGATAAATACATAACTTAAAAATATACTTTGCCAAAAAGTAAACGCTGTATGTTCAGCTATTTACTATGTATTACAACCTAAAAATTACCTTGCATTGTAACTTTGAACACACACCAATATTTTGAAAGACAAATTATTATTATCTTACTTGATAATTAAGAACACAAGAGGAAATCTAGTACTTAATTCTATTCTACATAACATTTTAAATTCAGACTATGGAATAAGAAGTAAGAGGAAGAAATAATATATCAAATGGTAATTAAACATAATGGACAAAAAGATGGACTATATAGGGGGATGCCTTTGTCCAGTAATGGATGTGTTCCGACTGTTGATAATGATGAAAAAAAGATGAAAATCCTATAGTGGTTTTCCTTGCCTAGACAATGTTGAATGGAAATTACATTTAAAAATTAATATATTCCGCTGTAAGATATCATATAAAGTAATCATTAGACTTAAATGTGGTATATGATTGTAAAAAAATTAAATCTCTTATATTACAGCAAGTGTGATGTTATATTACTATCTTTTAATATTTTTTTAAACAAATGACTGACTCGTTACCTAATTTGTTGTTTACTCATGTTACTAAATACAATTAAGCAGGATATAATCTTTTGTGTAAGTATTTGATGTTTATAATCAAGTTCTTTGCACTTGTTTTAAGCTATCCTTAACTTCTTATCTAATTAGTCGCCAAAGACGTTAAAAAATGGGTTATATTTAATATCCAAAAACTAAAACGTAACTTAATTAATAAGAGTAAATTTAATCCAAAAAGAAAAGTACTTGGTAAAAATATTTTTGTATAAATTCTGAACGCTGCTAGAAAAAGTGACAATCTACAGATGTCAACTGTCACTGCCATAGTTGATGAATGACGACATATTATGTTGTTAAGTCTATAGACTTGTTTTAGTAAATCAGTATCAGTTTAATCGGGAAATCTGCGTTGTAAATACCACGAGCGAATTTTGTAGCTGTGAAATTAAAAAAAGTCCAACTTATACAATATCTGATTATTTATTACTTACCTTTGACCATCAAATTTCGTTGGAAATAAAACTGAGTAAGTACAAAAAGTGAAATGTTTGGATTGAAACTTGTGGGAGTTGTTGCCTTTGATTCAATTAAAGTGTATTGTATTATTCTGTTTATATCGATATTATCTGTAATATTTATAACTATGATTGATATTTTGTAGGTGTGGAAAATATTCTACTTAAACTGATATTCACTTGGAAAATAACTAGGAATATAAAATGGGTCCCCCAAAGAAGTTCAAAAAATATGATTCAAGAACAGGAAGTGATAGATCAGGTGAGTTCATTTATGTTTTGGAACTCAACAATACATATGGTTGCATATTGTTATTGTGAATACTATAGAACTTTAGTTTTATGACATGTTGTAACATGTCAGCTATTTATTTTGGGATCATAGTAAACAAATACTCTTATTCATAAAAAAAGGTAAAAAGAAGAAAGTAGAAGAAGAAGTGACCATAGATTTGGTGGATGATGACAATACTGAGAATGTGGGAGTACCTGGTGCTGCCATGCAAGATGCTGAGAAAAACGACCAAGTGCCAGAAGATGAATTCGGTGCCAAAGATTATAGGTAATTACTATACCAATTACTGTTCTATTAGTTTGGTAAAACTAATTAGTAGAGATAAAATATACAACACCTATTTATGTACATACTTAAATTTTATAAATGTGTCGTCTTAGTGTATATATAAATTATTAAATACAAATGAATAAAATGACAGTTCCCCAATAGTTAATTACATGCTTACAAGATTAATCTGTCAAACACCGAGCGGTCACCGGTGACCGCGACCTATTGTTCTTTAATTGTGTCTATAAAACCGGTACTCGACGAGTTAATAGAGAAACAAATCTCTTAAGGGTTACATTTTGATTGAATAGAAATCCTTCTATGCATCACAATAATTGTAACATTTATTAACTTTTTCAATCAATACAAAACCGTTCAAGACTTCACGGTTGGTGCGGTGGCTGGGCTGCCGTGCAACGTGTCGTGGGTTCGATTCCCGCACGGAACAACATTTTGTGTGATCCACAAATTGTTGTTTCGGGTCTGGGTGTCATTGTGTATGTGAACTTGTATGTTTGTAAACACACCCACGACACAGGAGAAAATCATAGTGTGGGGCAACGTTGAAGTTAAAAAAAAGGTTGTATAATGAGTAATATTGAATAAGATATTGAACGAAAAATTTGTGAATTCTACACACATTTAGACGTAATCACACTGCTAGTTAACTTTAAAGAAGCCAGAATCTCTTTCCTTAAACTGGGGTATTTACAGTTTGTTTTTCATTTCAGAAACCAAATGCAACTGAAAACAGATAATGCCAGTCGGCCATTGTGGGTGGCACCTAATGGTCACATATTCTTAGAAGCATTCTCACCTGTCTATAAACATGCTCATGATTTTCTCATTGCTATTGCTGAACCTGTGTGCCGGTATGTATACATCTTTATTAATGTTCTATTTTTTATATTGTTAATTTTATCTAGATATACATATTTCTTATTTAGTATTACCTGATATTACTTTTATTATAAAATTCATTGTAATAGTATTCAAATTAATATTTCAAATCGGATGAGAGAATATTTCAAGTGTTGAGTGTCGATTAATAAAATTATTAATTATTTTGAATTATTTAAATATTACAATGGTTTATGTATAGTAAAAGTTACTGTGGTTATGTTAAATATTTATCTAATGTTCTATTTCCAGGCCACAACACATACATGAGTACAAACTTACAGCTTACAGTTTATATGCTGCAGTGTCAGTGGGTTTGCAAACAGTGGACATTATTGAGTATCTACAGAGGCTTAGCAAGTGCTCCGTACCAGCAGGCATTATAGAATTTATACAGCTTTGTACACTATCCTATGGCAAAGTGAAACTTGTGCTAAAACATAACAGGTGAGTTCACTTTTGTAGAAAAAACTGAAGATAAGCTGTATATGCTTTTATAAAACTCCTTCCGTTAAAGTCAAGAGATCATCTAGATATGGTGACATAATTATTATAATAGATAATTATATCCCATCCTCTCTGTGTTTAGATATCTCGTGGAGAGTAAACATGTGGAAGTTCTCCAAAAACTACTGCGGGACCCTGTAATTCAGCAATGTAGGCTGAGACGCGACGGCGATGACGACTTCTTGTCTTCGGCACTGCCCGATAAACCAGCAATGTCTCTTAAACCTGGTGGGTCTACAAGTTCAATACAATTCACAAGAAAACACAATCAATTGTGTTAAACATTGCAAATGAAATTATTCTATGCAACCCCAAAAAAATCCTCTTTTATAAAAGCAAACTGTGTAAACATCACAACAAAACTGAATAATCATTTGTGTATCACACAAAAAGCTTAATTAAGCAGCAGCCACAGCACCTACCGTACAGTCAGTAGTTTATGTACTAATTTTTTACTACTTTGCCAGGTGAAACAAGCGACAAACCGCCGGCAGCTAACGGCGCGGTACCAGATGACATCAGCCAGTTCTATCAGCAGTTGGACAAAGACGATGACGAGGACGAAGCCACCGACATCACTGCCAATACTGCCGTTGCTTTTGAAGTCGACCCTGATAAAATTGAGGTAGGTACTTATTACATTACATTGACTATTTTTCAAATAACGATCATCATGATCGGCCGAGGTACGTTCACACTGAAGGAAAGTTGTCCCTCTTAAAGGATGGTTTTCCATCATATCTGTTAGGTAGGAAACTTGTAATCTTGTATCCTATCACATTTAAAAAAGAAAATAAAGGTATTATAACAGCTATTTTTGTACAGGTGATACAAAAACGTTGCATCGAGCTTGAACACCCATTGTTAGCGGAATATGACTTCCGTAATGACACTATCAACCCTGACATCAATATAGATTTGAAGCCCACCGCCGTGCTGCGCCCCTACCAAGAGAAAAGTCTCCGGAAAATGTTCGGAAATGGTCGTGCGCGGTATGTAAACGAATATAACATTTTAATACTGACATGTTTTTGTCTTATCAACATTTCATTAATAAGTTAGTGATTTGCTGTGCACAGGTCGGGTGTGATAGTGCTGCCCTGCGGCGCGGGCAAGTCGCTGGTGGGGGTGACGGCGGTGTGCACGGTCCGCAAGAGGGCGCTGGTGCTCTGTAACTCGGGCGTGTCCGTCGAGCAGTGGAAGCAACAGTTCAAGTGCTGGTCCACGGCTGACGACAGTATGATCTGCAGGTATACTTGATGCTTACTGGTTGTATATAAGCAAATGAAAATAAATTTCATTCATCATTACACAGTTTATGCTACTGAAATCCTTCCATGATGTAGGCTGTAGAAACTCTTTCGAAAGTATATTTACTATTTCTGCAAAGCTTTTAGATTCAATATTCGAAGTAAAATCTATCATTTGCTTTCCTAACCACATACTAATACAATTTAAAAACATAAATGGTTCAGATTTACGTCAGAAGCGAAAGACAAGCCGATGGGTGCAGGTATCCTGATTACAACGTATTCTATGATCACGCATGGACAGCGACGCTCGTGGGAGGCCGAGCAGACCATGAAGTGGCTGCAGGCGCAGGAGTGGGGACTCGTGGTTCTCGACGAGGTGCATACTATACCCGCCAAGATGTTCCGAAGAGTACTCACCATCGTGCACTCACATGCTAAGCTTGGTATGCTACTGTAATATAATACAATCATCTGAAACTAAATTGTTAAACATTAATAACATATAATTTGATTTTAACTCTTTGAGTACCGTCATTATAGACACAATTAAAGAACAATAGGTTGTAGTCACCGCTTGGTGTTTGACAGTTGAAATACCTTGATTATTATTTTACTACACTGATAAATAATAATCAATGAATATGCTGTCTACAATAAAAATAACTATTTTCATTAGTAAATAAAGTTTTTAACTCTGTAACAGGTTTGACTGCCACATTACTTCGAGAAGACGACAAAATCGCAGATCTGAACTTCTTAATTGGGCCAAAGTTGTACGAAGCGAACTGGTTGGAGCTACAAGCGAATGGGTATATTGCGCGAGTGCAGTGCGCTGAGGTGTGGTGTCCCATGACGCCGGAGTTCTACAGGGAATATCTTGTACAAAAGTAAGCTAAACTCTTACTTACATCAGTTTGCCAGCTTTTAAAACCAACAATTTTGCGTCCAATTTTTCATTACGTGAGTATATTTTTCTTTTCAGAATAAATAAGAAAATGTTGCTGTATGTAATGAATCCTTCAAAATTCCGCGCGTGTCAGTTCTTGGTGAGGTATCACGAACGACGCGGCGACAAGACTATTGTGTTCTCCGACAATGTATTTGCCCTTCGACATTACGCCGTCAAAATGAATAAGCCATATATCTACGGACCCACGTCACAGAGCGAGAGAATACAGATATTGCAGAATTTCAAATTCAACCCTAAAGTGAATACGATTTTTGTCAGTAAAGTTGCTGACACTAGTTTTGATTTACCTGAAGCAAATGTTTTGATTCAAATCTCGTCTCACGGTGGTTCACGGCGACAGGAAGCCCAACGATTAGGTAAGAATATTTGAATTCTATTAGAAATAGAAGTCGCGGGCGAATTTCATTGTGTATTTACAAATTTTCTTATTTATCAGGTCGTATATTGAGAGCAAAGAAAGGTGCATTGGCGGAAGAATATAACGCATTCTTCTACACACTGGTGTCCCAAGACACATTAGAAATGGCTTACAGCCGTAAAAGACAGCGGTTTCTCGTCAATCAAGGTTACAGCTACAAGGTAAAAAACGATTTCATTCAAGAACGTCTAACGAAACATGAGGCAAAAAGAAACGTGGACTTTACCTAATTTTTTTTGTAGGTCATCACGGAACTAAAGGGAATGGATCAGGAACCTGACCTACTGTATGGTACACGAGAGGAGCAAGGTCTCCTATTACAACAGGTAAAACATTTACTGTTATAATCTTGTAACAAGATTTTTTTTTTTTAAATTACCATTTCTAATTAAATTATTGTTGTGCCTAATACTTTGCCTTTTGATATAATGAAGCCATATGTTAGGTGCTGGCTGCGTCTGAGACGGAGTGCGAGGAGGAGCGCGAGGGCGGCGTGGGGGGCGCGGGGTCGGGCGTGGCGCGCCGCGCGGGGGCGCTGTCGTCGCTGGCGGGCGCAGACGACGCGCTCTACTTCGAGCACCGCCGCAACGCCAACGCACAGAAACACCCGCTCTTCAAGAAGTTCCGATACTAACAGCACTATGTGCCTCGCTACATCCATACATATTCAATCTCTGGTAATACTAGTAGATATTTAAATAGAATTACGAATTTATTATTTTTAAGATAAGATTTTTATCAACTCACTATGTTATGCACTAAATACATTTCAGATGATCATAAAACTATTGTTTGCTGGATGTTGGCAAAGAAATACTGCAGTACAATTTATACAAAAAAATATATCCCGACATGTTATGTTAACCTAGAACTGAATCACATTTTTTATGAAATATTCTAATAAAAATGCGTTCGAATCCGAAATTTGTTTTTATTTTATTTCCTATCTGCTCCAGTGATATAACTTTTATTATATGTACTTTATGTTCATTTTAGTAAAACCGAAAACGAAGGAGGAATTCCTGAGTGGGCGTTGGTCGAGCTCCAGGGTCTTATTCAGATGAAAAAAGAAGGAATCACTGAAGCGACTGTTGTTGGCGATCTGCATTACTACAATAGAAACAAACATCCCGTTTTAGTTCTTGGCCACCATATTCTCAATGGTAAAGAACAAAAACTTGAGCAACCAATGGCAGTCATTGAAAAAGTTATTATAGATGACAAAACTAGTTATAAAGTAAAGGCTGTTATCAGAAAGAAATTGTTATTCAAATCTAGACCTAAGCCTATTATTTCTAATGTAGCAGAAAAAGTGTGATAATAATAATTTGTGTAATAAAGTTAATCTTAAATGAGTGTTGTTTTTATAGATAGTAGCCCTGACATTTGGTGGCTAGAGTTTACAAAAATACAACAATTTCTTATACATATCACACCCAAACCCAGAATAATAATTTGTAGATAACACAAAGAATTGTACCGTACGGATCTAATAAGCGATTCCCTTATGATTGTGGTGCTAGTGTAGTAGTGTCCATGACATGTTCCATCCATGATACATACCCTAAAATGTAAGCAAATTTTTACCAGGCCAAATTTATATAAAGAGAAATAAAAAGACATTGATAGAGTACTTAATTATAATTTTACACTATTCACATACTTGGATGTGACATAATTCTGTGACTTAAAACTATTTAACCCATAATTTAAATGACCTTAACTATTTGGATGAATTTTGAAACAACATTGTCATTGACAATAAAATAAAATCCTTTATACTTATCATGCGAGTTATTTCGGATAAAAATTGTTTTATATGAGTAAATGAAAAATTCGGGTATGACAATAAAGTAGAAATATATGAAGAAAATAATATCTCAACAAAATTGATAAGTTCTAAGGCTTCATAATAATACATACATGAACAAGAATTTGAAAATAAAATCATTAATAGAAAATGAACCTTAACAGTAGGTACTTAGTATGACAAAATTATAGGTGTCGACAATGCACGCACACACATAATTATTTTAAAATATTTGTGAAAGTGATGACATCATGCTCACCTTATGAGCGCTACGAACATATAGTTGTTAATGAATAAAGTATATTGTCGATTGTACAGTGTTACAAGTTGGGTAAACACAAACTACGTGGCCGGTATTAACAACTAGAAAACAACACATTGTGGAATACTTTCCTATAAGAACCATTAAATATTAAGGTGTCACATCAATAAAAGCTTTCAATCCGTCAACATTAAATCCAATATGTACACACTTCATTTAATCCAACTTTAACCACTAACCGAATTAATGAGATAATAATATTTAAACATTTTCTCAAACCCTTTTCACCACAACGTATTTACACATTCAACAATTCAACCCATAGTAACCTTTATCAACTAACAAATCTAAACATGTTCAAATAACAATTTTAGACTATTCGCGACATTCGCATACCACACAATTATTTGTACTATGTGGTGAAAGTGCAACATTGCTAGTGCATCTTATGCACTCCACCTGTTCGCCTTGCCCCAGTAAATTATTGACAGTGAAACACAGCGAACAGGCGATATAATTGCGGTCCATTCTTCAAAAACAACTAACTGCTGGCGGCCATAACTTTCAATACCATGTGATGTCTGTGCACCAATTAAGGTTAGTGAAAAATCATTCCAAGGGTCAGCACTCTATTATTATTGTATATAATTATAGTACATTTGTTTATACTCAAAATATATAATCGATTTCGATATTATATAAAAGGCACTTTTTTTAACCAAACGAAATAAATTTACCACTAGGTAGGTAACCTTATAAATATAAACATAAAATAATTTAACAGTATTATCTTAAAACATGGATGAAAGATATAATAGTTTTTCCAGTTATGTTCCATTTAGAAATGGAATGAAAAATACTTATGTAATCTATAAAACATAACTGTGGTCAGACGTCAGATATTTTTATTATGAAATATTCTTTACTGCTTTACTTATTAACATTTTTTAAGCTTTACGTGAACTATCGCCTCGTGTATATTGTGTACAAGATGTTTTTAAATAAAGCGGTAAATGCAAACTTTGGCTGAAAAAGAAAATTATGCTAAACCTTTAGTCATAAACTCATAAAATCTAAAACAAGGACATAAACAATTTCATCTATAACATAACATAATATTCTATAACTATAATCTATTCAACACCAAGGATCTAAATCTGCTCGTAAATCAAACCATTTTACAAATTCTTCCTGCACTCACTCTTGGTTGCTTACCATCGCACTAATAGCAGTCTTTGCACAATACCTAATCCCTATACAAATACATTTGTAGGGCAGACACTAATTAATAATTTTATAGTAATTTTGATGTCAGTCAGACAATTTGTCATTTATATAAATGTATAGCAATTATACATTATTATTATTAAACCTTAAATGAATACCTGGATATGCAAATAACCTTTAAACAAATATCAGATTTCAATAACATACTTTTTGTTATTAAAGTGTTATTCATTTCAACGAACTGTGTGGTCATCCAAAACATTGACCTGCAACTATTTCCTTTTACTATTTGCAAAATGTAAATATATTCATTTCTTTGTAATAAAAATTAGGCGTTGTATGTTGCACGCAAGATGTCCTGTCTTCTGTCGATGTCCAATACTCCACTAGCAAATCTCGCTCCTTCTCCAAATACCCCAGGAATGTAGACTCAGACCCACTCTTCTTCATGTTTAGTATCCGTTTCTTGAGCCAGATGTTCTAGAAAATAAAAAAAACTCATGTTACTCATGAACAGAGGAGAACAAGTTTTCTACACCTGTTTTAATAGATTCCAACCACAGTCATTGTAGTCAAAAACATACTGCCCAGCACAAAAGTGAAGGTTACGTAGTTGAATCGTTAAACGATAAAAGAAATAATAACGTCGTACAATATCCTGTCAAATCAAATAGGTGTAATCATTGTACATATATAGATCCGTTAAAGTTAATATCTTATTACAAGGTTATCTTATCGTTTTAGGTTGCGACCTATTAAAGAGTTAGTTAAGAGAGTTAAGTATGCATTTCAGTCGTAATTACTATGTGGTTCAAGAAACTATTGCTATTTGTGCTATTTACTTTCGTCGCGCCGAGCGATGACAACGATGAGCCTGTTTTATATTATTACGGTCTTGTAAGTATTTTAGTTCGAAAACAAAGAATATTTCGAATAAATGAGAGCATTTTGTTTTTCATGTCGGTCGAATAGTTAAACTAGTACATATTTGTATGTATTGTATGATTGGCAGTGTATGATTAATTTTATACACAGTCAAGAAATATTTATTTCAAAGTACTATTTTAGGAGGAGAGTGAGCGCAGTCTACCACTGTGCAACGACCGCCAAGCGTGTTCAGCGTTGATATTGCGGTACTGGCGTGCACCCGCGCTGGTGCGACTGTGTCGCTGTGCGCGTCGCATGCGTTGTGACACTCGTGCGCATAACGACAGTCTAATTGAACTTAACAATCGAGCTCAATTACAGGTGCGTAAAGATTAGTCTTAGATTTTAGTTAGTTTAGGTTTTACGTGTTTTATTACTGTATTTATCTGACAAAAATAATAATATTCATTTCAGTTCTGTAAATCTGTAACTGACTGGCCGGAATGTAAAATCAACGAAAATGCCTTAAGCATAGTAACGACATACCAACGTATGAATCCTGATGAACTTGAGGAAATGCATCACATGAACATGCAGCTCGCACCACCAAACATAACATTTAACTGTCGGTGTCGTAACCCTAACTACTGGAAGCTATCTTCCACTGAAGATACTAATCGTAAATACCGGTGTGCGTCACTTCCACTATGCAAAACTGGAGAGTTTTGCGGAAATGTAAACCATGACCTAAACGCGCTGTACCAGTCGTGTTTATGCCCAAGACACCACATATGTGTGCACAACGGCGGTGTAACCCACATGCACATCTCTGAGTTGCTTTACGAAGGCAGAGGATGGAAAGCTTACTGTCAAAGGATAGAAAGCGACGACAGTTACGAAGATTATTAACTTACTCGGGCGGGTTGTAAAGCGATGTCTTTAACGATCGTGTGGACTTGTTCACTGAAGTTGTCAGGCCATAGTGTACGGCTTACCAATCCACCTCGCAATGCTTCCGACGCTGACAACCGACGACCGAAAACGATCAAATCGTTCAACTGTAACAAGTATTTTGTAGTAATAGAATTAAAATGTAATACATTAATAGTGTATTTCTATATTGAAGTTTTTGGTTAATGCAATATTTAAAAGCAAATTAACTGATATTTACCAATGGTTGAGGTAAAAGTCTGTATGTAGTAAATGCCGCAGCGCCTGGTTCTATCGGCGCAACACCCCCATGTGACTTAGGGCTGATGGCGAAGCTTGCTCGTTCAGAGGCTAACGCCACATCGCACAGGCCAATCAACGCCAGGCCAACACCTGAACATCTACCATTCACCCCGGCACATAATAGCTTGCCATGTTGTTCCACTGTTTCTAATAGAGATCTGTAAATATAGGATATTCAATTTCGTTATACATAATAACTAGCAACCCACCCCGGCTTCGCACGGGTGCAATATCCATGTATTTTAGAATATAAGATATAAGAATCACTCTATCTATTAAATAAAACTGCATCAAAATCCGTTGCAGTTTTAAATATCTAAGCATACATAGGGACAGACAGACGGAGGATAACTTTTTTATATTATGTAGTAATAGTGATTATGATATAGTAATGTACACTCCAGAGTTATTTAGTATGCAGATAAGAAAGTATGCAGTTGCTAACCCACACACTGATGCATGAGTAGCAGGTGTTTTAAACCTCTGGGCAACATTATTCTAGTAACTCTAGGAATCTAGTTTAGTCTAAAAACACCAGAAAGAAGAAATACAGTTCATATTTTTAATGAAAACAATAACCCACCTTACAGATTCAGCCATCTCGTAAGCAAAGTTAGCAGACTTCTCGGTATTCTCATCCAACAATGGTCTTAAATCTAAATCGGAGTATGCAGTTGCACACTCAGATGACAACAGTGTCACTGATATGTCTTTTTTTGCTTCAACAACTTTTAGTGCTTTTTCTAACTCTTTTAACATCTGTCAATAAAATATAAACTGTTAAGATCTCTCATTTTTATTATAGAATAGAGTAGTAGTATATGATAATTAAAAATGTAATTTGTTCATAAAAAATATTAGACACATATTTTTTTTGTAGTATAAGAAAACAATACTTCGATATAACCGAGTTAAGTTTAGGAGTATGTCACGCTCCCCACAAAATGTAGTAAATCGTGACGTCACACGATGTTTCCAATCAATATAAATCGTCAAAGTATTTAATTTTGTAAGAAAATAAGAGTGTCTAATGTTTTAAAATAATCTACCAGACGGTCATTAAAATAAAATTTTGTATACTACCTTATTAGAAATAGGAAGTACTTTATAATAAAGTAAAAAAAAGAGAACTCACCTCAATATTACATCTGGACCCTGCTTTCTGAACACAAATCTCAGCTAATCTTTGATCAAAGTTAATGGACAAGTATTTAAAATCTTCACTATTTACATGAGACTTTTCATCAGATTTCATTAGCTTTTTAATTTTTGATGGTTTTTCACCTTTTATAATCTCACGCTTTCTTTTATTTAAGCAAGATTCAATTTAGAATTCAGTTTTTCTTTTATAGACAAGCAATCATCTTTGTTTATTGCATCTGGTCTGATTGCATCTGTGTTATCTGACATGAATACATCAGCTAAAGGATGATTATTGGTGCTCTCAGCAGAGGACTGATTCTGAACCTCAGTCTGCACAGTTTGTGGGGGGTTACGAGAGCCAGACTCTACATCACTCAACCGTCGTGGACTCATACATGAACTAGAGTAAGAACTTGAAGAGTGTCGTCTATAAATAATAGAATCATCTGCACTATGTGCCTCAAAGTCTTCACAGACCGAGGGTGACTTTACTGAACTATTTAAAGATGATCTCTGCTTACCACCTAGAATTTTCTTAGCTTCTCCTTCTTCATATTTTGACTCCTTTTTCCTTTCTCTAAATTTCATTTCTTTTGAGACAGGTGTTGAACTTTGTAATTTTTTAATGAATTCTGCTTTGGTTTTCATGTTCTTTTTCCCTTTTTGTGCTTCAGGAGTGAGCTGATAAATCATATTAACAGCTCCTTCATCCATCAACAACTTATCAACTTCAGTCAGTCGCTTATTTTGTTTGCAGTTCTTAGGAGAAGGTTTTTTCCATTGTAATTTTGCAATAGGTGACTTAGATTTGGTCCTCTGAAAAGTTGGTTCAGTCTTAATTTTTTTTGATGGAGTCACATCTTTCTCCATACTTGGTTCTTTGCTTTTAGCAGCAGCTTTAGATTTGGTAAAAGTATCTGGGTTATCAGGATCAAATATAACTTTTTTCTTTATAACTCTACCGAGTCGGCGTTGCGGTGCTCCCTCATCACTACTTTTGTTTAAGACTTGTAATTTTCCATCACTAGATGAGTCGATGGATGACCGAGCTGATGCTTGTTCTTCTTCTTTAGTGACTACTTCTTGGGTTTTGACCACATCTTCAGTAGTCTTCAGCAATCTTCACTCTCTTGTAACAATTTGTTTGTCTTTTCTCCCTCCATTTCCTCATCATCCCACTCTTTCACAAGAACATTGACTATGTTTTCCTCAGTATTACCCACTTTGTGTTTCTGCTGAGATATTTTCTCAATTTTATCATTTCTTCGATTTCTTGGCAATCTTTCATTGGTGCCACGTTTTTTATTAGCACTTTTTAATCGATTAAGTTGTTGCAAAGCTATAGTAGCTTCAAGTATTTTATCGGACGACACATTTTTTAAATTAGTTGACTCACTTTGTTCTTCATCGTTTCCTTCCAAGATGTCCAATAACTCCTCTTTGTTGAACACTTCCTGTCTAACAGAACTATTATTATTTTCTACACTATCACTTACATCTGATGAGCGTAAAGCTTCACTAAGCTCAATGCTTTGACCAAGTTCACTGAGTAAATTGTTGGAGTGCTGATCATCAACAACCAATTCTTCAGTAATTGTTTCAGTCATATCATTATCATTTGTTTCAATTAATATCTCAGTCTGAAAAGTGACTCTCTCCGAGCATACTTGAGCAGTATTATCAACTTCAACTAATGTTTCTTCTTCAGAAGTAACTGTTATAACTTCCTTGACAACTGCAGGTTCTTCTGTAGTGGAAGTGGGGTCATCTGTGGTTGGCTGGCTATGCTCTACATTTGTGTCAGTCGACTCAATCATTTTGGGCACAGCAGTTTCTGCTACTTCTTCAATAATATCCTGCGTTTTATCATTCACGTCTGTAGATGTTTCAGCACTTTCAGGCTCACATTTACTATCTTCGCTTGGCACTGAGTTACTTTCTACTGCAGCAACTTCAGCAGATTCGGATTCTGCGACGCCGTTTGATTTGTGACATACATCAGTAGCTACCGAAGCCACAGCGTTTCGTTGTTTTCATCAAACACAACAGTTACCTTCATATTATCTACGGTTGTATTATGAAGTGGAGGTTCTTCTACTGCTTCCATTTTGACAATACAGTCACTAAAAAAACAAAAAATGAATTTATTATTGCCTATAATACGGATAACCTAAGTTTTGTTGACGAACGCAAACATCAAATTTATAGTGTCCGTGTTTCAATAAATAGAAAAACCACTATTATTTTCAAGTTTACAAACATTATTCCACATTGGTACTAAGAATTACCTAGTTCCAATAATTAATACACAATCAAGACAAAGTTTGCTTTGCGTTGCGTCTGTACGTCCATATTACATTACGCGCACTAGAGATGTACTGATGTACCAATCATTGACAATGATAACCAAAGATAATATAACTAACACTGATCTAATCGACTATTTATTAATCACGCACATACACACACATACACCAGTCTTCCACAAAAGCTAAAATAATATAGTGCTAGTACTATTTATACTAATAACATAGTGTAATATTAGTGTTCTATTAATTTAGAAATAATGCAATGTTATGAAAGGATACAAAATGCTGTGACCTCATTTATGGGTTTTAACGTTTGCATCACTAAACTCATTTTTTTAATGTTGGTAGCACTCCCATTTGATTTGACAATGACACTACATAAGTTTGACAGTAAATTGACGGTAACTGTTCGTGGTGTTTTGGTTTGTGATATTCAAAGAGTATAAATAAGTATATGGGGTGTTAATGCGTGTTCTATTTTCATTTCTAATTCGAATTTTATTTAACTGTAGCGTAACAATACAGTTGACTAAAAATATAACTCCATTCAACTCCTACAACTAGTGTAGTTGTAGAATAAGTACAGTATTTATCAATCGGAATGAATATTCTCCCAAAGAAAAGGTAACACTTCTCTAAACATTTTTTTTATTATTATTTATAGCTAAAAAAGTAATAATAAACAAACTTTAGAACAATTAAAATGTCATTGTGTTTATCATTCAATGAATGAAAACATATGTTAACATTATTCGAATTATTTATTACAGATGGCATGTAAGAACAAAAGAAAATATAGCACGAGTAAGGAAAGATGAAGCAGAAGCTGCTGAAAGAGCGTCAGGAAAAATTGAGAATTGAGCAAGCTGATCGCGAGGCACGCCTTAGTGTTTTGAAATACAAAAGCAAAGAAAAATTACAAGAATACGGCATAGTCCAATCAACCTCGGAGCCTACACAAGATACAGCAAATGAACATATCAACTTGTTTGCAAATTTAGATGAAGCTGTGAAAACTACAAATAAGGATCATGATAATGAAGCAAAAGAAAAAAAAGAAGAATATGAGAAAAAGATTGGTTACTTGACATATCTTGGACAAGACACTAATGAAGCTCTTGGTAAAAAAAATTGGTATGAAGTAGCACCAGAAACATCCCGATACTCTAGATCAAGTAATATTAAGGATACTTATGACAAATTAGTTTTGAAGGATACTGATGGTAAACCTAAAGTAAAAGAACCAGATGTAAAAGATGGAGAGGTCAATTATAAGAGAAAACAGGAGCTTGACCCAATGAACGCATTTAAACACCTTCATAAATATGATAAAATAAAAAAATATTATAAGCCACCTAAACAACAAATTAATAAAGATAATGATAAACAGAAGAAAAAGAAACACAAAAAGGATAGGAAAGAAGATAAAGAAATGAAATTACAAAAGCTAAGAGAAGCTCGACTGAGAAGAGAACAGCAAGAGAAATACAGAACTGAATTGTTTTTGAAAGGTCTTCATAATTCTAATGAAACTAAAGAAGTTGAGAAAGAAACAAGATTAAAACCTAAATACAATTCACAGTTCAACCCTGAACTGGCAAGGCAAAATTATAAATAAATCTTCTAGAAAATAGAAACAACAAAGTTAATAACATAGTGGAATATATTTATATTATACTTTTGTTTATTTATAACAAATATGATTTCAATAAACAATAAACTTATTTTATTTATCATGTTATTTTTGGAGAGTATGAGTAAGCAAAATTAGTGGAAGTTTATCTTCCAGTTTGGCAAAGGGATAATTGAATGTCTCTGAGAACATTTGCAATATCCTCACTATTGCTGTAGCATCGCTTGTTGACTCTGTATGTTTGGATCTGCAATCGAAGAGTTTAATTAGTTTTTGCTTACACTCATGATCAGATACATGAACACCAATTAAAATATAAACATCATTCAGTGAGTCTGGAATGAAAGAGCCAGAGCCATGCTGCCGGCTCCATCGTCGTGAAACAACGCTGGCGTATATTACCGTGTAATTAAGATTATCGGAGGCCCTTCTACCGGCAACATACCTCTGGTGTTGCGGTCGTACATGGGTGGAGTCGATTGTTTACTATTAGGTTTAATCTGTATGCTCGTTTGCCGACCTAGATTCCATGAAGTTAAATAATTTATTATTAAGAGAAAACTAAGTACTAACTTGACGTAAGTGCATAAAGACTCGATAAATATGGCAACATTTTCGGTCTTGCTTTGGCGTAACAGTGAGTAGATACCAACTAACAGAGGATAGCCATCTATATTGTCACCTGTTCTTCTTGTTATGAGATCACCTGGAATACATAGATAATTATTATATTTTTATTTAATTACAGAGTGCCGCTGCATTCTATCAATAGAAATCGTGCTGGTGGTTTCGAATTAATCGGGAACCAACCACTATCATAATCTATAATATAGATTATCAGATTCCTAACTAGAATCTATATCTATATTTGTTCGACCTTTTTGTTCTGTAATTAGCAAATCAGTACTTAGTTTTAATAAAATTAGTTGAACATACCTGTTGTGTAGCATATCTGCAGTCGGGGTAACTGTGAAATTAGAAGGGCGACAAGAATGCGACCCATATCTGCGTTCAAGAATTCCTGCGCGTGTTTCACATAAATCTTCTCATATGGTTCATAAATTCCACATCTCACCAAATACTCTTCCAGATTTTGCAGAAGTAACGATGACACTTTTGGTTGGCTTTCCGAATGTGTCGATATCTTTAATTCATTTATTAAAGACCTAAAAAAATTGAATGTTAAGAAAAATGACCAAGATTTGATCTTATTTTAGAATTAAAATTGTCTTCAAATTGTTACTACTTCGACTGCCTCATTGGCCAAGTGGTCGCAAGTGCGACTGCAGGACAAGGAGTCTCAGGTTGGATTCCTGGGTCGCGCAAAGTATTACTGGGTTTTTAAAAATTTGTCAGTAGTAGCACGGAGTCTGGAATTATGGCCGGTAAATGGCAATAGGCTCACACCCTATTACATGGCACTCAAAACATAAATAGTGAAAAGTGGGTATTACATCGTACAGTGGCATTAAATGTCGTAATGTGCACCTATGCCTACCCCTTCGGGGATATTGGGGAAAAGGCATGATGTTACATATATATATTCAAATGATTAAGTTGTATTTACACTCTTTGCGATACTTACTCATTCATGGTCCTAAGTGACGCTTCTAGTTGAGCTGAATCAAACTTACAACTTGTATTCAACTGATAAGCAATGTGTCTTCTGATGATTTGCAGAGTGCCTATCAATACAAGTACGTCAGATAATTGTTGAAATGTTTTATATCCTTTAGCAATAAACTGTTCCAAATCTTTCATGTTGCTAGTCATATTCCCCATGAGAAACTTGTCTTGACTGTTCCTGAATAGATCTTGAACATTATGCATTTGGTTCTTTACCATAAATCCATACAAAGTGTCCAATCCATGAAGACCAACCACTCCAATAGCTTCGTTCAGTTTGCCGAATGTTTTGTTATTTATTATTTCATTTTGAGTTTTAACGTCATACCAGGCTGCGCACACATTCACGTATGAACATATCCTGAAGAAAAAGAAAAAATGTATACGCGTTTGAAATTTAATAGTTTGTATTAAAAGTCCTTATCGTTGTTTTGTTACCTTGCATCCACTAACTGCGGTATTTGACGAGCCAGGCTGCCCATGAAGCCAGCCGAGGGGCTGTAAAGTGTTACTCCTTTACGGAAGCTGATCTCCTTGGAGACACTTTCAGTAATGATGGCAGTTATCTGATACAAAGAAATACATTATAAAATAATGAAACTATTCAAAGTATTGGTAAATTGGTAGTTAAGTTCTCGCACAAGTATTTTGTAGCAGGAATGCAGTTTGCATTATATACCTGTTTTTGCCAAATTCTTAAGCCATGTATATTTATATAATCTTGAATGTATTCCAAAGATCGCCTGTATCCATCCATACTTTCAGCCAACTTCTGTAGTCGCGACATCAAATTGCTTGCAGTAGGTTGGTATTTCTTTCCCTGAGGTTCTAGGAATTCCACAAACTTTTTGCTGATATGTCTGTCTAGCTCCTTCAATAATCCTTCTTCCAACAATTCTGCCGGGTCTACTCTTATTACGCCCACTAATGTAGATCTCATATCCAGTATTCCTATAAAATTACACAAACTTAAGTTAGTGTCCCACAATACGAATCTGTGGTTAGTTAATGCGAACGAATACGAACCTGTTGTGAAAGTGGAAGCAGAATGAGTTAATTTGGCTACTTCCATCCTATCTTCCAGCTGCGCATAATCCCGCAATCTTTCCTTTTCCAATCTCGTAGGTACTTCTTTTATAGCCCAAGTTTGCAAATCAATTATTTTCTCCACAATATTGAAAACCATTTCTGGAATAATTTGGAGAACTTTCTGAATGTATTTAATTAGTTCATTACTGAAATATTGTGACACTGACACCAAGTCGTCACTGTGGGCCTGATTTATCCTAAGTAATGGGATTTCCATGGCACTAGCTAGCTTTAAGAAAAGTGCTCTTAGTCGGCTGGTAACAGCTGGATTTTCATTAATGCTATCCTGCATATGCTTTGTATACAAATCGATAGTGCACCAAGCATAGCTTACATCAGCAACTGTCTCCAACGTAACCAGGGAATCTTCTTTCAAAGAAGCGGCTCTCAATAGATTTTTCAATGCATCTTTGCTATCACACAAATATTGAACAATTGTAGAAGTACTTTTTATGCCATGAAATTCTTCAACTTCATCTAAAGCTTGTAGCAACTGAGTTACTTTCTTGATTGACTTAGATGAACTTGGTTCGCCCAAAGATGATACTTGTTTTGCAATGCTATCAAACCAAAGCTTTAGTTGTTCGTTTTCTTGTATTTTAGCAACAGGTTTAGCTCCTGAGAAAAGCTCAGCCAAACTGTTTAAGGCTTCTATAGCGAGATTTTTATTCATATTCCAAGTGGACTCTCTATTTTCAAGCAGTCTGTTTAATATTTCTCTAACTTTTAATTCCAACTCTGCGGTACTTATTAATAGTTCCAAAATTTTCAATGGATCATAATTAGATTCCTTCAGTACTAAGTCTTTAAGTTGTTTACTCTTTTTATTATTATCATAAAAAGTTACATCAGTATTGTGTAAAAGAAGCCACCTTAATACTAAATTGGAATTTAATAAGAGATTTAGAATTTTGCTAATATTGTCTAATACAAAATCATCAGTGAGTGTTCCTTCTTTTAGTAGTTGGTGAGTTTTAGTAGTAAGCATTGGTACAGATCCACCTCTTTTAGCAAATACTTCTTTGATCATCTTGCTATTGCAAGTGTTGCTGAGAGCAGATTTAGCTGCTTTAAAATTTTCCCAATAATCAATGATGTTCATTGTGACACCCATGTATACCGGAATTACCCAGTTTGTTGGGAAGAATTTATCAACTATTTCTCTCATTTTGGATGTATCTGTGTGTAGATAGTAGGGTGTAAAAAACAAAGAGATGGCAAGCATGCTGGCTTGTGTGCCCAGTGCAGATGCTTGATGCTCTGGTATTGTGTAAACTGCTAGTTGGTTGTAGATATCTTCCGATCTTAGCTTTCCTACAACTTTTTCGACAAATTCAGGGCGTATGAACACGCGGCTAAAAGGAAGCATCATTATTATTGCAAAATGAATAAATGTAATCATTACAACCCAGTAAGTCAACCTACGCATGTTTTTGTTACTTTTATCACTGCTAACTGAAACTGATAAATTACCTAAAATATTCGACAGGATAATCAGCAGGTCTTCGTCCATTTTGCTGGTCATAGCCCGTGTCTCTTAGAAGCTTGCACACATCATCAATGTTGGACTGCGATTGGCTTGTACTGTAGCGATAAAATGCTACCAGTAATCTTTCCCTTATTGGACCCGGTATGTAGAGGTCACATAATAATAGCATAGCTCCATATAAATATAAACTTTCACACTGAAAAGTAGGTAACAATTTTCTAAATATTTTCATAGTTATATTATAATACCTAGGATTACTTATCAGTTAGTTTTAACCCGTTGAAATTCATTCCCTAAATTTGTTCATACAAAAGTAATCTCTAAACATGGGAAATAAGGTATATAATGTAGTTAGTGGACAGCGGTCACTGGTGACCGCTTGGGGATGTATGGGTTAAATAAATTAAAAAGCTATTTTATTGTTTTATAGCTACCAATTGATTGCATGCAGGCATGCATGATTATAAAATAATATAAATAAAGTATTACTGATCTAATTGCAAATTACATTATAAAAATTTATTTCAACCACTCTGTTTGTATTCGGTTATTTAATATAATAAAACCTTCTCCCAAGCATAACAAACACTTTTATGAAAACCATATCAACATAGGTTGGTGCAGCCTATCGGGAGATTATCACACACAAACATACATACAGGTTTAATCAAAAACCTCCTTTTTTGAAGTTGGTTGAAAATAGAAAATATTTATTTAGAATCACCCTATTTATTTATGTATGTGTTACACACACAACTTAATTATGTAGATATCTTGTTACAATTTACTCAAAATTAAATTCAAGTACTTACCAAAAGCTGTTTTCCTTCAACATCTTTCAGTACAGTTTCAATATTTTGCTGGATGAAGGTATTATCATGCAACTGCTCTACAAAAGAGTTCAGGTCAACTATGTATTGGTAGATATTTTCAAAAAGCAAATAAAACCTGTTTATTATTTCTAAGTATTTTTCTTTTAACTCATCATCTAAATCTTGTAATTTCTGAAAAAAGGTATAAAATTATTACAAGGTTTAAATATGCTCATTCAATTATAGTATCCACAGAAGTAGAAGTAGGTGTTGTTCTAGTTTTATACTAATTGTTAAACTGTCAAACACCAAGCGGTCACCGGTGACCGCAACCTATTGTTCTTTAATTGTGTCTATAAATATGGTACTCGACGAGTTAATGGGAGATATTGTAATTTGTTACAAGTAACTTAACATTCTACATCTAAGCATTGTAGGTAGCTGGAATTCAACATATTAGATTACAATGATTTAGCAACTAAAGGTTCCTAATTATGAATAGTTGGGTAACAATGTTACCTTTATGTATTCATATATTATAATCTTATAAGTAAATGGTTAGTATATACTTACAGGGTTAGCATTAATTTTCTTTTCTTGAGCATCAGAAATTTTAAAATAACTGAAGTCCAAAATAACATCCTGGTATTTTTGTTGTGATTCTCTATTATCTAGCCTGAAATAAATAAATAAAACTTTCTACTAAACTTTTACTGCAATAAAATGATATGAACTTTTCAATAAATTTCATATTTCTTCAGAGAAGCTATACAAAAATATTCAACAGTTGTATAAAAGTATTTCAACAAGGAAATGAACTTACAAATAAACACTGGGTTTATGATCCTTTAATCTTAAAATTTCCGCAACTATTGCATTTCCATGAGACACAAGTTTCAGCAAGTTTTGAGCGCATAAATTGTCTTCAGACATAAACACCTTCATCGTTTATTAATTAAAATAATAAGTCCATTGACAAAATATTCCATGAACATAACAAATAAACTTTGTCACTGACAGCAACAATTTGATTTTGACATATGATACCATAGAGGATAACTTGACACTTAGAAACAGGGTTGCCAAAGCTAATTCATCAAAATCCCCAAAATTCCTGATCGAATTCCCCAAATTGCGGAATAAAAATCCGCTGATTCCCCACAAATTCCCCTCAAAAGATTTTTATAAAATAAAACTGTAATCAATTATTTAAATAATATTGTTTGTTTTAATTTGAAACTGTTGAGCTTCTAATGGATTTGAAACAGATGTAATAGAAAATAAAGGATCTCGGAAATCAAATATCTTAATAATGTCCGACGTGAATTCCATATAAAATTCTTAGCATATACTATAAAAATAGAAATCTGCAATAGCTGCAAAATGTACCTCGATTTTCATATTTTTCCAAATGTTCCATATTGTCTCCAATTTCATGCTTTATGATTTAAAAAAATGTTGTTATCGATAATAAACGATGAAATATTTTCCAATTTGTGTCAAATGCCAAAAGATGTCAAAATCCCCGCATTTTCCCCACATAATGCCAATCCCCAATAAATCCCCAACCAACTTGAGATTTCCCGCAGTTTGGGGAATTCCCCACAGTTTGGCAACCCTGCTTAGAAAGTATTCCGGTAAATGTTGCTGTTGAAAAAAATAACAAAATGATGAACTACAGACTTCTTGGTTTATATTTTTAGCAAAACAAGAGACAGCAAAATCACATTTTTTTTTGCTGAAAAGATGATGTCCTGCACGACCTGGTGGCAATGGTGGTACATTGTCTAGAAACTTTTCGAGCCATCTGTTGATATAGTGATGTTTACACGCAATAGGCCATTCAAGTGTTTCCAGTCCACCATTTCCATTTGATATAGTATATTATGTATCTATGATAATAATGACCAATCACTATCAATCAGTCAGTAGCACGATGTGTTTCGTAGATTGAGGTGGTCATGTAATAAGATTTTTACAAATTAATATTTATTCAAGGAAATATAACGGGGGCAGGGTCAAAGTGCGATGATTTTCGATTAATGTATATTTTATTTCAAGTGGTTTGCAGTTTTCATTAAGTAAAAATGGCACCTTCGTTATTTAGTTATGAAACTCTTGTGCATGCAATAGCAGGAGCAACGGTACGTACTTATCTGATAATAACCACTGTTAAATCGTCTGATTTACAAAAACATAATTTATGACTTCCTTAAAAAAAAGAATTGTACTTTAGTCCTTTTTATTGATTATTTCAGGGCAGTGTAGTTGGCATGGCAGTTTTCTATCCATTGGATACATTAAGATCGAGAATACAAGGTAATTTATTTATTTTATTACAGCGTTAATTTCAAAGTAGTACCTATGTAAAGTACATTTCATATATTTGTTTCATAAGTAACTATAACTATTATACAATAAATAACATAAAACTGTAACGGATCTACTACCTCGTATCTTCCCTTAAGTCATATCCGCTTAACAGGCTTTAATCATAACAAATATGGTATTAGATACCACTTATCGTATTAAGCAAATCCTCATTAGATAGCGGAGTAAAAGATCTCTGCGAATGTGTAATCTACTTGGGAAAAAAATACGTAATTAATGTACAATGACAATTGGCTGAATTGCATAATTAGTTTTATAAGATTTGATATAAAGTAAACAAAAACAAAACAACAATACAAGCCGGTATTATATTGTAACGAGTGATGTGTATTGTTTAACTATTGTACTACGTAATTAAGACTACTAACAACTTCAATATTGATAACATCAGTTGTCTGCCAATAGTGCAATTAGTGCTAGTTGTTTGGACTTGGGAATCGGTCCTTGTATTTCAGTCCAGGCTTCGATCAACTCGCGTACTTAATGCACCTATAATAATATTTTGTTGAGAATTACAAAATGGTTCCAAAAAACGACAATCGAGCATTCATCCTTTACCCAGGATGTTAAATTAACAATTGTAGTTGGGCACAATGTGACTATAACTTTTTAACATTTAAAATGTTGTTTTGTTTCCAGTTGAGGATTCCAAGAAACTACAAGGTTCATCATTGGAGCTGCTATTAAAATTAGCGAGTGAAGAAGGGCTAGAGTCCTTATACCGAGGATTGGCACCTGTTTTGCAGTCTCTGTCAGTGTCTAATTTTGTATATTTCTACACATTTCATGGCTTACGTAGGGTGTCAACAAAAGAAACGTCTGCCCTGAAAGACTTGATGTTCGGATTAATCGCTGGAAGTATAAACGTTCTTCTAACTTCGCCATTATGGGTTGTTAATACCCGAATGAAGTTACAAACTTCAACCTACAACAGCCTAACCGAAGGGTTAATAGACCTCTACAAAAAGGAAGGAGCTAAAGGTCTGTGGTCTGGTACAGTACCCTCTTTATTACTTGTCTCTAATCCAGCTATTCAGTTTATGGTTTACGAATCGCTAAAGAGGCAACTAATAGCTAGAGGCATGTTTGATACGTTCTCTGCATTTCTAGTTGGCGCCGTGGCAAAAGCGGTAGCTACAACTTTAACTTATCCATTACAATTGGTACAATCAAAACTTCGTGCTGGCACCAGTTTAAAACCTTTATTTAGAGATGTGAAATCGCAACCCTTATTGGCGTTCCGTGGGTTAGAGGCTAAATTATTGCAAACAATCATGACAGCCGCTCTTATGTTTATTATTTACGAAAAGTTGGTTCGACTAGTGCTAACGATAATGAGAGTCAGAATGGCTAGGCATTAAAACGTTGACTAACCAAGTTCATAGAAGCGAGGAACTTATTACGTCATTATTTGCGTTTACTACATTGATACATACATCAAGCTACATAAAACCTGTTTTGTTGGTGTGTTGCAAAGTTACGAAAAGACAAGGTCGCATCTTGATCAAAATCACTGTTTATTATGGGATTTAAAAACGCATATAACAAGGTCAATCATTAAAATAAAAAAATAATAGCAATAAATATGAGTAGGTACGAAGAGATGTACCAGCGCAAAGTAAAAAAATAAATACTACTTAATAGAATCTCATAATTAGCATATTACAGCATTCAACAAATTAATTACATCTAACTTGAAGAAAAAACACGACAACAGCAATAAATTGCTGTATGAAGAAAACTGATTAATTTATAATAATATAAGTACGTATTACTTCTGTGTTAGACATGTGCCAAATGATGAAACTGTTTGCAAAAATACCAGTAGGTATAAAAACTTGGAGATGTGATGTGACGTAAAAGGGTCACACTATGTGCTAATGTATCTACAGATGATAGCGAGGAGGTACCTCGGGTATAAATTCTTTGAACAAGCAACCTTGACTGCATTAACATGGGTGTGTTAAGTCGAGGTTACTACGAAAATTTTAGTATTAATACGACATAATATAAATGCAAGTTCAACAATAATTAAGTAGCAAATAATTTAAATAGCTCCTAGTTTCCTTGAGAAGAACAACGCGCATTTCCATTTTGTGAACTGCGCAAAAAGTATCAGAGCTCTCTAACTAAATAATGACACTACGTTTCATGTTACATTTTAAACGAAAACCGGCGAGTAGTTAAGGTATTGTTATCTTGAACAACTTATAAAGTTTTGATCTAGCCAAAGAAAATAATAATTGTCTTGTAATATATGTATTGAATGTAGCTAATTTTTACACTGATCACACTCCACCGTGTATACTCCACGCGGAAGGACTAAACTATGAATAAGGTTCTTTCGAGTGAAATCTATCTTGTTTAAAAATATTTTAGCCCTTGATGTCGTTCTGACTGTAATGGTAATTCGTCTAACAATGTACCTACTAGTAAGACCGATATATATTCCGGATTATGTTTGTAAATTGGATCTACAGAAAGATTCCCATGAAGCTAAAATATTTATTTTGAATAAACTGTGTGAACAAGAAAAGACAACAAAGCTTTTAGAGGTTATTTAGTATTTGCTCATTATATTTAACTTTGTTGCCGATGATTTCAATGACGTACGTACCTATGGCATTGCGTTACATACCACCATTGCTTTAATGCTTATGTGAATGGATTTTCGATAATATAAAGGCATTTAGCGAATCTTCTTAGAAAAATACAAAGTCTGTGACATTCTGTATATTTAGGTCTAGATGTGTTGTTACCTTAATTTGTGATCAGTAAATAATATACAATGGTGTAAGATATTTGTTAAGTTGGTTTTAAAGGAGGTGACGGATTAGAACGTTTTTATTTATTTTTTATTAATAAAACAAGTCTCGTAAAAAGAATGTGTTTTATTGAATACATAACCATTACACTAATTGACTGCATGCTCCATTCGCGCCAGTTTCATATCGTCGGAAATTCTTATAACAACTTTAGTGTATTCTTTAACCAGACCATCTAACTCATTGTAAACCTGTAATAAAGAAAATACTTATTTATCATAACATTCGTAAACAAAAGATTAAATAAAAGCATTGAATGTTAAAATGTAACTAGTATAAGGCTGACCGCATACAACAATGATATCGTCAATGCTAGAATGTTAGGGTTCAAAGTCTCAGTACTCAGTAGACACTTGTAAAATACAAATTGTCAATGTGTAAAATGCTGCCTTTGTGTTTGAATGAGGTCAGCCAAAGGGATAAGACTGAATGATAAAATTAATACTTAGTTCATTTTGTTGGGTCCTTACATTATCAGTGCAATGTGACTTTGACACGTACACAAAGCACCGCTAATTAGTTGCAGCGCTACACATCGACACAACTGTCATTTACACAGTGTACATGTGTGCGTAATTTCATATAACTGTATATAAAAATATTCGTCCACCACGTTCACATTGGTATTTTCATTCTTGTGTCGGTATACGTATTTTTATAATTTAATGCATAGGTAAGGTTAAAACTATTTACAATCATTGATATGACCCGACATTTTCACTGTCATTATCGTAGTGCTCGTGGTCGATTGGTTAATGAGCACGCTTTTATCGTCTTTCAAGGATCAATGATGTGGGTTCTATTCCAGCTAAAAGTTAATTTTATTTTACCTTGTTATTTATCTTATTTTTTTTTTTGTTTTTTGTCATAAAATATAAATATCAGGCTATAAAAGAAGCAAATGAGTTGGTAAATAAAACAATACTATTTTTTATTACAATTAATTTACTTATTATACAAATATGTTGTTTTATATTCAATATTTATATCTAATAATTAATTATATACCACATGTTAAGTTTAAAGTTCTTTAAAATCATAATTAATAGATATGACAATAAACCTCATAGTCGAATCGGGAAATATCATGCGGTACAGCGGTAATACGATGGCAGCAACATTTTTTATTAAGTAGGTAATAAACAAATATACAACATTCTTGTTTTGTAATTTAATAATATAATGTATTATTAAATTACAGTTTTACAGTAATAAACAAGTAAAACATGTAAAAAATTACACTGTCAACATAATATTTCTTGAAATGGGCGACTTTTTGTCGTTTGAACTTCCATTAATTATCTATTTTACGACGGTTGTTATAAGGTTCAATATTCAGTGGGCTGTATGATAGTAAAAAGAATGTGACGAATGCTATGGAACGATTTTAACTTTCATGACCTTTAGAATCAGGAAACTTTAAATTAATTGAAGATGGGCGTAAATATAATATGTCAATCAAGTTCGAAAGCAGTTAAATAAATTTGTTAATGAAAAATTAAAGTGAAGTGAATAAACATGTTGAATAGAAAGAAATTATGACAATTTCTAACCACAAAACAATAACATCACTTCACCGTATGTTCTAGACAGCATTTTAATATTCTTAAAAAAATATAAACATTATTTTATGTTAATTTTAATAAAGGCAGAGTTTGACAGGCTCAATAATTGATTCCGAAATCAATACAATCACTGATCCTACAAGGCAGAAGGTTGCAATTCGTATACCTTTCTCCATCTTTTCTTCACAATATTTTACGCCCATCCTTATCCGACTTGAAAGTCTTTTCGTCGCTCAATATGATTACACTGTTCGCCCAATCAAAATAATAAAGTCCTTAGCAAATTCTTAGCGCTTTTGCTGGTGAACCACAGATAACAATATTTTCTTCTCTGGCTTCCTGCACCTTAAACCAGAATGCAGGTGTCTCCGTACAGTTTGTATTAAAACATTCAGTGCTGTCGCTGTAGTGCGGGTTGGCAGGAACGGATCAGCCATGTGCCTGGCTACGATGTCGTAGTGCCGAGCCGATGAATTTGCCTTTGGTTTAGGCCCACGTCGACGATGTTTAACGTCACCGGTCTCCGCATATCTGTGCACCCATAACTGCATGGATCTCCTCTGTTGATACCAAACAAATAAGTATTTAAAATACCAGGAAATACTTTACAGGAATTAAAGTTACTTTAAAAATAATAATAAATATAAGTAAACACAATGTTAGAATAATAATTTATAATTAAGTAGTGGCGTAAGGAATAAAAATCCCTAACCAGATATGTTTTAAAGAAACACTCCTAACAAAAACAAGTCAAGTTACAATACAATTAATAATAAATTATTAATATATCTTTATAATATTGAACTTCATAATAAGTTGCAATAATTATTTTATTCTAGTGCAAAAATTGATAGGTGTGTCGAGTTACAAAATGAAATAAATATTATTTAGAATATCAACGTAGTATCTTATTTACTCACCGATATCATTAAACGCCTTGCTATTTCAGTTATTGTTAGTTATGTTTTGCTCATGCAAAACAATGGTTTCAGCCTTTTTAAATGTTGATAGGTGTTGGAACATCTTGTAAAAATAAAATAACTTTGCACACGAATATAAGTAGTGTAGCAATAAACTATGAAATCCTCATAAATTGACAACTAAGAACGCAATTATTTTGTAAGTCGGGTGATTTGAAAAACATGTTTTAAATAGTCGGTAGTTACTTCATAAGCGTGTAAAATAAAATGACTCGAGATTTCTATGGTCGCCACAAACATTGCAAATATACTCAGGTATCGAACCATTAAGAAATCACAGTTAATTACTTTTTTACTGTTTTTATCTTATTTAAGTTGGTTGAAATGCATGAAGCAAATGAGATTATTCTAAATAATAAATAACTAGAACTAAAATATAAATAAAAGATATTATAGGTATAAATAAATCTAAAGTATTTACTATTAAAATTAACATAAGATTTAGAACAATAGGAAAGGAAAAAAAAGAAAAGATTTAATTGTTTCTAATTTCAAATTTCAAATATTTGATAAATTAATTCTAAAACAACATGTGAATGTTGGAATCGATCCGGCGGCACTTTACTTGACAATTGGAGGCGATAACCATTGCGCCAAGCGCGCTGTAGATGAGATCGTCGAAATATTTTATATCATTCAGTAACATAAAATTACAATGAGAAAGCACTATATTTATATGGGTATTGTATAGCTCGATCGTTCATTATTTTTGATTTCGATTTATTCAAAGTTTGTTATGAGTAATTTTATCTTTACCCTCGTTTTTATTTAAACTTATTTACTAAATTATTGCGTATACCGACACAAAAATGATTTTTAAATACCAAGATGTGTGATAGACGAATGTTTCTATACATATCTATTGATATGAAATTACCCACACATGTATATTGTGTAAATGATAGTTGTGTCGATGTGTAGCGCCGCTAACTAATTAGCGGTGCTTTGTGTACATTGAACTTTGGTCAAAGATCTCGCACGAAAACAATGAGTACTTAACGCTATTTATCAACGTATATAAAATTGGACCGAGATAATACATCAAATCATATTTACGTACGTTCAATCAAGCCACATATGGTTGAGTTGTCGCAAATGCGAGTATTCGAGCTATTGGGTATGCAAACGGATTGGCAAAAGGCTTAATAAGAACTCCAGTAGTACAAACTTTGGATTGGTACCCGCTGTACGGCAATGAGCGCGCTCGATAATACCCAATAATACATTTTCTCATCAAAAAATAAAGTTTATTTCCATATTTTATCATGGATTCATCTTTGATGGGTTTGATTCCTTTGTGTAGTTGACTGTGTGTGTATTCAACTGTTGAATCTCGACAATAGGTCAAAGTTTACGAGTACACATTATCATAACATTTATAGGCAAGAAAAATATATCACGACAGATTATAATGTCGATATATAAAATTTTTTAATATGAAGTCAACGTTATTTCATACTTGCACGTTCATATATGTTTTGACGATAACACAACGTTTAATCACGTGATCGAATTAACTTATCGAGAATTCGAGAGAGTGTTTTTAGAAACGTGAATCACAATTAATTACTAATCTTTAACCATAAATAGATTTGATTTATCAATTTGCTAAATAATAAAGTGTATTTTTTATGATTACATTAAAACGATTTCTTTTTCTATACGTATTTATAAAAAGAAATTGAGGAGTAATCAGCCTGTTTAAAGTTACTTTTATTTAGACAAGCGACAATGCTTAAAACGCATTTCAATGCGGTCGTGGTATCGTCTCGGTTGACCCGGCTTATTAGTGCCGAAGCATGGCTCTCTTTCGGAAAGAGAAATATATACCGAACAAAGAGGTCATTTAACTGAATTTTAGAGAATGAAACAATACTTTAACGCAAAGACTACCACCTCTCAAAGGTAGACAATTACCTGTTGTACGAACGGGTCTCCAGTATGATGTCCGAGCTCTGCGAGTAGTAGGTCCGCCAGCGCGAGAGGCGCGGCGCGCGGGGCTGCGGGACATCGCGGCACGAGCACGTGCAGCGCGCGCCGCAGTGCCGCGCAGCACTGCGTGCCCGCCTCCGCCGCGCGCCCGCCGCTGAGTAACGCGCGCACACAGCCTGCACCGTCCACCTCCTGTATATCAAGCCAATGCGTTAAAATCTTCTATACGCGTACCGGTCTTTTTTTTTTTGAATGGGGGAAAATCATCGCATGACTTCTCCCGCCCGGGTGAGGCGGGAGGGAGGGTCAGACTCTAACTGACTAAAAACCACCCCGTTCCTACTCCGGCACTTCAAGCTGGAGCCCCTGCTACCCGTTAAGTCTTCCGCGGCTCCGTATAATGAACGTACCGGTCTAATTTATCATTTATTTCAGTATAATTATTAGACACTTATTATTAGAAAATCTCGTTAATCGAGCGGTCGCAAAGGTGACTCCCGGGCAAGGGGTCTCGGGTTCGATTCCCGGGTCGAGCAAAGTTGGGTTTTTAAAAAAATCTCATTAGTAGCACGGAGTCAGGAATTGTATATGGCAATAGGCTCATCCCCTATTACATGGGACTCATACATAACATAAATAGTGAAAAGTGGGTGTTACATTGTACAGTGGCAAACACCATATAAAAGGCGTGATGTTATGATCTATCAGTCAGTATTTAGGGAAGCTAAGTAGTATCACTAAAGACTTTACTAACAAACTAAAAAAAAGTCGGTAAATTAATAACTCATTCAAAAATCATATTTCACTGATACATTGCATGAAAATACAGGAGACCAAAATTAACCAACAGATCTGTTAGACCTCAACAAAGTACAAACTTGTTTTCATTATAATTACTAAAAATATTACCATACCCACGACTTACCATGTATCTTTGTAGGAACCAGTGCGGTAGGAATTGGCCAGTACTTATAGCTCTCTTTAATACTGACAGCAGGGTTTCTGGATCGGCGTCTTTCAGTTTTGGGTACAACATGTCAAAGTCGATGTTATCGCCTCCTAAAAGAAAAACAAGTCGAACTATCATAACTACAGTAATGGGATCTTACACAACATACTAGAGCAGCTGATTAGTTACTACCTATATTTAGTGAGTAAGCAGCATAAGTACTTGAACAAACTTACGGAGTAACGCTTGCTGCACAGGATCCAAAGACTCGGTGTCTTCTTCTCGAAGCTCGGCGGCCAATTCTTCCGGGCCGATAACCTTTAGAAAAGTACATACGTTTAAATACTAAATTGTTTAACGTGAAAGAGCCATGCTTCGGCGGAAATCTGGGCTAACTGGAATAACGAACGACGTGCATAGTTCTCCCACACAATTGGGTACTAGCCTTAATCAAAAACAAATAATTTCGACTGTTCAATACAATAAAATATTTAAAAATAATCACATTTTCATTAATTGATTTTATGACCAACTTAATTTTAGTATTTTTCTAGCAAATTTTTAAGAAGTAAGTACGCTGTTTGACGTTAAAAAAAGAAGTCAGAAGAAGTAAAGTCATGGAAAACTGTCGTTTTTGACAGTTCGAAAAAAGTATTGAATTTGACTAGTAGGCAAATACCCAATTCCTATATGTCGTCTGGTCCTTAAAAGTGACTGTGAACTCTGAGTTTGTTTCTGTGTTTTTTCTCAGGGTAGGAAATAGGATAGGAAATGCCTGCCTCAATATTTAAATATTAACGTGTAAATTGTGAGTTTGTATGCCATTATCATTTGATTTGTATGATATATACAAACCTGCAGCAGTTTGCCCGACTCGGCGGGCCTGGCCAGGAAGGCGTGGTCGGGCTGCGCGAGCCTGAGACAGGTGAGCGCGGCGGCCAGACAGCGCCGCCGCACGCGCGCCGCCGACACCGACCGCTCCGCGCCGCACCGCGCTGCGCGCTCGTACATCACTCCCGCCGCTATATGCAACAAATGTTGTGATATTATGATATTTTTGGTATTGATTGTAGATCACGCTCCAAGTATTCTTTGAAAAAAATATTCAATGTACAGTGTTGACTTTTCTACGATTTTATTATAAGTATATAGATATTGTAATTATTCCCAAAAAAAATATATGTTCAGTAGTCCATCGATCTAAATCAAAAAAATATAAAAAAGTTATTACTAATAATCATAATTACCTTTTCTATAATGATGTCGTGAGATATGCAGCGCATACAAGAAGTCGTAGTACGGGTTGTGCGCGTGCGCATCGTGCAGCTTGGCGCGGGCGGCCGCGGCGCGCTCTGCGTCCCCGGCCAGGGCCGAGCACGACACTAGTGCACCCAACTCGCGACGAGATGCTATACCATGTAAAGAAAATATATCATTAAAAACTCTTCAATTGATCGGTGAATCAGAAAAGATGGGGAAATCCCAGTGTGAGGAAAGTTTTTGTAGCAAATTTTTACAGGTACAATAGTTAGCTAGAGAAGTAGAATATTTATGTAGGTAATTACTAAAAACAAATGACACAAAGAGTCCCACCCGCGCACCGAAGTTTAAACGTAAATGAAGAATTTTGAAATGTTTGATGATACACATGACACTGAGAGTTAATGACATCAAGATATACGCGGGTCCCACCTATGCCTAGGTAGGACCCGCGTATTATTTCCATTCGTAATTTGTAGTGGCTGTGACGTAATGTATCGGTACCGAGCGTGGTGAGCAGCGCGGCGGCGGCGGCGTGTCGCGCGGTGGGCGCGGGGCTGGCGGCGGCGGCCGTGAGCGCGCGCGCCGTGCGCCCGCCCGACAGGTGCCACTTGAACACCACCCACTGGAACATCGCCTGCACACATGCCCGGGTTACAACGGCTCCACTCTACGCTTTTGCCATTTTAAGATCATAAACACTAATAAACACTAAAAACTATTTCTTTTAAAAGATCGCCCCAAAGGGCATTTCCATAAACGTAACATAACACCACGCCTTTTATCCCCGAAGGGGTAGGCAGAGGTGCACATTATTGCACTGTACAATGTAACACCCACTTTTCACTATTTATGTTATCAGTCCCATGTAATAGGGGGTGAGCCTATTACCATATACAATTCCAGACTCCGTGATACTACTGAGATTTTTTTAAAACCTTCAATACTTTGCCCTACCCGGGAATCGAACCCGAGACCCCTTGCCCGACAGTCGCACTTGCGACCACTCGCCCAACGAAGCAGTCAGGCAACAGGGCACTTCCAATATCTTAAAGTAAATTGTCGAAAGTATGGACTTTATTGCAAACGATCAACATTGAAAATTTATTTCAAAATGATAGGTATGGTATGTTTGAGTGTATTCTGTTTTGCTCGGTTATAAATACAATGTAAAAACTTACAATATAAGAATGGCTGACTTACCAAGTTAGGATCATCTTTATCAGCAATGCTGATGGCAGTCTCTGCAAGACGGACAACACACGCTCCTGCGTCGTGGATCTCGAACAGTTTTATAACCTGCGGATAACATTAACTAATTAATTACAGTGCAACCACTGCGCAAGGGTTTCTTGTACGATTCTCGAGTCGGAAAGTATTAGAAATTCTTAGTAACAAGAGCACAGAATATCGAGTGAAATGCCAAAGTCGTAGGATCTGCAATCAAATACCTAATTCAGAAGTACCTCTGCCTATTCTTTTAGAAACTAAAACTAAAACGAAATTATGTTATGACAACGTATGGAGATGGAGAATAATAAATAAGACATAATATTTTGGTCACCTTCATATAATACAGAACGAGTGCTTGATGTTGCGTGAGTCGTGCGTCGGGTGCCGCTACCAGTTGTCGCAGGAAGGGCTCCGTACTCACTCCCTTAGCTGCTTTACAGAATGCTGTGTACGCATTCTCTGCGTCATCCAGGTCTAGCAGAGCCAAGCCCAGGATGAATTGACCTGAAAATTACACATAATATTATTATATGGGTTTTTAACACTCCACTACTCAATAAAGTATATCTACATAAGATGGATTTCGCTAAATGTTACTATCGTGTATAATGGAACCGTAACAATATTGTTTTAGAGTACCAATTAGATTGTAGATGTACTTACGAGAGCAGGCATTCCATTCGCACCAAGGCTCCAGCATGTTGACGTAGCTCTGTACCAAGCGAGGCTGGTCGATGGTGGCCAGCCACCAACTGAACTCGAAGCCTCCACTTACAGCCCAGCTGATTTCATTTATTATTAAGGAAATATTTGAAGTTCTTTTAACAATTGGCTAGAACTAAAACAGGAATACTCGACTACTTTCGAGCACAATCGGAGTTCATAGTATATCGATTAACGAGAGTAACGAACACAAAAGTTATTTCATTTATTGTTACGTTTATAATTTTATTGTTTCTGAAGTTGAAATGGCCTGAGTAGCTAAATCTTAACAACCATTTTGTGAAAAATGGTTAAAATTAGCCTCCCACCAGCATTTACTTCTGAATCACGGGTGCGTCTTACAAACCCACTATTTTAGGCAGTGTACAATGTAGATGAAAGGATACAGTTGATGTGCGAGATGGTACGCGAGTAGCGGCAGGGCCTGGTGCCAGGGCGTGGGGGCCCGCGCGGCCCGCAGGTGGGCCCGCGCGCGCCGGGCCCCCGCGCCGCGCACGTAGCTCCACACCACCGCGCCGCCACCACTCACGCTGCGCGCTTCAGCCCCCAGGGCGCTTAGTTTCAGACGGAATGTTTCCGATGATCCCGCCGCCCTGCACAGGTGTACAGATTACATTTTGTTAACAATTTCATATTAAATATGTGCTATAAAATGTAATAGACAATCATTTATCTAGTGTGAACTCGGCAAAGAGGTGCTTAAGCCTCAAATTTTTTAAGCAGCACTAGATATTTAGTTCTTTTTATCGTTTCTCTTGATCTGTTTATAATCATATTGTCTGTACGGTCTGTTTCAATATTTATTTTTCTCACTAGCTTATACCCGCGGCTTCGCTCACGTCACAAAAGAATAAAAAGTAGCCTATGTGACATATACCTATACACACAGCGCCATCTATACCAATTATTTTGTTTTTCTCGGGAATATCAATTTTTTCCGGGTTAAAAAGTACCCTATTATTTAATCCGGACTTCTAACTTTACGTCTGCAAAAATTCAAAGCAATCGGTTGAGTAGTTACGGCGTGAAGGTGGAACAAACAAACAAACAAACTCACTTTCAGATTTATAATATTAGTAAGGATTTATGCAGAATGTATGTATTTTTAATATTGTATAGTACTCACACCATATTAATTAATTTATTCCAAATCACAAACGTTAGGACTTGTTATTGGCTCATAGTTACCTACGCCTATTGTTATTTTTATCCATTTTTATAAGCTGTAAGTCCTCCATGAATTATAAATAAATAAATAAATTTAGGTAAGATAATGTCTAGTATTTGAAATTACTAGAGTTGTAGTGATAATAAAATCGTGTGAAAACATCGATTAAATTAGGTAGAAGGCAAATTACACAAACAACATATTTATATTTTTAAATAATATCAAGTTTAAGCATGTTTTAAGCAACACAAATAGCCCATGGCACGACCGGATTTAACAGTCGATTGTTTGATTTTTGTGTAAATGTTGTGTAAATGTTAGTAATATGTGTTTTATCGTTAACTATTCATAATAATAAAAAATGCAAGATGAGAATGCCGAAGGGAGAGTAATGAAGCATAGTTACTGCGGCGAGAGCGCGGCGGCCCGCAGCCACAGCAGCGCGCGGTAGGCCTGCCAGTGCACGGCGCAGTGGCCGGCGCCCGGCACGCCGCCCGCGCCGCGCCACGCGCCCAGCGCACACAGCGCGCCGCGCACCACGCGGCATCTGCACGCATGGCATGGCTGAGACCAACTCTGACGGTTTACTACGAGTTTATTTTAAATGTTTAACAAGATCGAAACGCGTTCGACGCGCGATTGGCCTGCTCTAATAAACCAACCAATCTGAACGCCGGACGGTAACATTTAGATCTCACTAAACGTAAAACATCGTATTAAACCCTTTGGTAAGCTACCAAAATACAGGTATTAGCTATAAATACTTGTTTACCTCATTGTAATCAACAAGATCTATATATATACAGTGACATACAAAAACGAATAAAAATATGTACAAAAATAAATCTATGTCGATCCAAAGGATTAGAAAATCTTAGAAAACACCTTTCTTAATAGGTTTATATTTATGACCACCAAATAATTTAATATGAAGTTTGGATATTATGATACAAAAATGTTACTAAAATTGTACACACCTCATCTCAGCCATTTGTCGTATAGCCTCCGTGACTATAGCAACACCGAGGTCACTGGCCAACAGACCATCATATTCACCTGAATCTTCATCATCATCTATAATAACAATAAAAAATAATACAAAAAATATGTCAAACCATTTTGATTCATATTGCTTTTGCAAGAAGACTCACTTTTAGTTGTATCAATTTCAGGCACATCCAACCTAAGAGCATCATTTAGTTCGAGCACTGCACTTTGTAAGTCTTTGATTGGCTCTAAAATGGAAGTGAGGTCATCTATCTGCTGTGGTGTTAATGTCTGTAATACAAATAAAATACAATTCCATAAAGTTTGCATATTGCCATCTTTGAAAAATAAAAAAGGAACAACAAATTTTTTGCGCAAATTGATTTCGTTGAAAAAAGTTTTATAGACTTGCTACTAAACAACTTATTTTTTAGGCGGTAAGAAGTTTGCCGGTTCAGCTAGTAAATAATAATAAAGAACAGTACATACCAGCGCGGTCGCATCTTGTTCGGAGGATGTCTGCGGCGCGAGCAGTAGATGCAGCAGGCGCGGCAGCAGGCGGTGCTGCGGCGCGGCGGCGGCGAAGAGCCTGCGCTCGAGGTCCGCGGCCGCGCCCTCCGCGCCGCGCTCCCAGCGCGCGCCCGCCGCCACCACGCGCGCCGCGTCGCACGACAGCTCGCCCCACCACCGCTCTGCGCGCATACCCCCACTACTTAATGTATACGGAAGTAGCCTAACAACTACTATCGCGTAAGGCTTCTTATTTTTTTTTGTGATCATAACTAGATTTCCAATAAGACCTATAAACCTTCAAGAAAAGAGTGTACTCCATCGGCATCGCACTTGTCCTTGTCCACTTACAGTGTTTCAGGAGTCCATACGCGATACTACATGATGATCTGTATGCACGTTTGCGCCCAATTCCATAAGAAAATCTTAGCTTAAGTAAATTAGCAACACAAACAATACACCACTGGTTAAGCGTCGAGGAGAATCTCATGTTGTAACTTGAGACGCATTCACATAGTACCTAACCAAAACGCTTTAAATTCCTCAAACAAGTAGGCAAAATGTGAACTTTTACCTTTTCACTTTCACTTTCACTTTCAAAGGTACATTTACCTTTTCACTATTGTTGCAAAGAAGATACTGTACTCAAAAGCAATATGAAATTACCATTTCCATCTAGCAGAGGTACGTCTGGTGACAGCATCATTCTTTCAAGTGGTTCTAGTTCACAGATTAGCGATATCCCAGCGCGGCGGACCACAGCGCACCACCAGCCGCATTCCACGTCAGAGTCCTGTGGCAAAAAATATATCACTCATATCTAGTTTTAGCCCAAAAAGTTTGTTAATTGATTTTTTTAAGTGTAAACTTACTTCTTTTGAAACCATCAGTCCAAGTGGCTTTTGCAAACTCTCCATATACTGTAAACACCAGCTGTACAAGTCCGACCAGCATCTAAAAGGAATCATTCATGAAGTATCTCTGAAAAGTGGTATAATAATTACCTAAAATGATATATTGTAACCACACAGTTGGTGCAATAAGCTATCCAAGTATCATCTCGTGGGTTTTATTCATGCGTTAGATAAAAGCTCCTAATGATTTTTTTCTTATTAGAATTATTATTCTAGGTAGTATTTTGGATATCACGCCTGCGAGAAATCAGTGTGAAGTGTACTATAATAACAGTACCGTCTTTAACATAAGAGCACTCGGGGCTCATGCTCAGGGCCCCATCCTCAGGGGGCCCCGAAAGACTGACAATTTCTACGACGGACACACGTACGCAGGTTCGATTTTCGCACGGAGCAAATGTTTGTGTAATCCACAAATTGTTATTTCGGGTCTGCGTGTACGTGAAATTGTGAACTTGTATGTTTGTAATCGCACCTACGATACAGGAGAATATACTAGTGTGAGCCAATATAAAAAAAAAAAATCAGTGTAGTCTAAGACGGACCTGTCTATGTAGTAAGTAGCAAGTCTAGTTAGAGAGAATGGTCACTGTGCGGAAATTTGTTATGTGATAAACGTTTAATATAAGAATATAATTCACGCCACAAAAGACATACTTGTGCATAAGGTGTGCATGGTCTGGTGTGGCCGTCCTTGCAGCGAGGTGTCGGAGACGAGATTGCACTGCATTCATAGCGGCGTCGCCCAGATCACTCTCACCGCTCGAGTCCGTACCGCCCCATGTGCGGTTGTAGATCTGATACAAAAAATAAAGGGAGGTGAACTATAGAGAACTTGGCAGATTGTATAAGCATAGTTAATGATTCTGACAATGCCATGTTTTTAACATACTTACAGTATGTTTCTATCGAGAAAACGAAATTGAGATACGCATGTGACATACCACAAGTGCTTTCCTGATGACGGCGGAAGGGAAGAGTCCGGGCGCCATGAGTCGGTCGCGGTACTGTTGGTTGGAGCTCAGCGTCGGCAGCGCGGCCGCCGCCTCGCGCCCGGCCACCGCGCGCCACGACGCCTCCGCACCCACTAACACACCTACGACACATCACACCATTATATTAACAAGGAGTTTATATGACTGTACATTTATTCCTTATGCTTGATCCGCATATTTAAGATACAAATACAAAAGATTCAGTCATCTGATTGATATTAACCTCCAACTTGAACTCATCTCATACAATACTTACTAGTTATTATAGTATCGCCGTCCGGTTGACTCCAGAGAGCCCAAATGACATTGCTTCCATCTCCATAACCAATAGCATAATCAAGAAGATCTAACTGCAAGCAAAAATAAAATTAATAGAGATAAAAATCAAGAGACAAATAGTATTAATAAGAGACAAATAATCAAAGAGTTGTGTAAAATAATCCTGTTCTTACCTGAGGCCCAAAAATGCGACTAATGTGAGAGAACCTCACACCTCCAGAACCTCCATCGTGCATTCTCATGACAACAAACTCACATTCATTAGGAAATGATAAGTATGCCACCAATATGACACTTCCATCCGATCCAACAGTTTTTTGTAACATGTGGCCATGAGCTAGAAAGGAAATCAATATTTTTGTAAGTAACTATATTATATACCCCAATTAAATTCTTTATAAAATAAAGTGATGGAGGAAATAATATCTTACGAGGAGGTTTTGGTCTGACTAATGTTTGTGAAAGAGGTGTGGACACGGCAATAGGCGCCCCACCCTCATCCAATGGCCATGCGCGAAGGCAGGCGTCGCCACATATTGCCACTGCTAATCCACTAGTGAGTACCACTCCATATGTTTCTACACCATCTGAGGTACTCTTGCCCCTGAAAACACAACATATATAAATAAATAAATATACTTACTGAACTTAAAAGTTGCCTCTATTAACAATAATGCTTATTGTAATTACCTCACTGTCTTTTATGTGTCGTTGTAAATGTCAACCAAGGCATTTCAGGTTAGTCAGACAAAATAGTTTTCAAAAACTAAGAAATAATACAGAGGCCGGAATTGTGAAATAGATGGCCTTTTTAGACTTTACAAACTTTCGGAAAATCAAATGTAATAATTAATACCTCAAAGCTCCTGTGATACCAGACAGGAATCTTGGCACAGTAGATTCCCGTTTCAAAACTGTTGTGACTGCTGACCCAGTCACTGGCAGTTTGACAAGCAATAAACCACCTTCTCCTCCATGGCCAAAAGCCAGGGCAAACACAGCTTCACCATTATCACGTAATAAGGATGCACAAGTGTGAGCAACACCTGTAGCTGAAAAAAATCATACATATTAACTTTTAATCATCTTATTATGTACCTACAGTCAGTCATATTACTTGGTATGAAAATAAAAAAACAGACTAATTGATTGATCAGTACTTGCCAATTTAAAAGATGTGAAAAATCATTAGGTTTATAAACGATTCTTGGCATATAGGGGAAAGTCCCGTAACACCGGACGGCACCTAACGCTGGCCACTTGTATTATCTCAATAACTGGTTACACAAGCGATTCAATTTTTACTACAAATCTTAGGTATCTGCCAATGGGAGACTTCCTCGTAAAAATTGAATCGATTGCGTTATTAGGTATCGAGGTAATACAAGTGTCCACGTTAGGTGCGCTCGGGCGTTAAGGGACATGCCCCTACTTTATTGCACCACAGAAATATTATAAAAAAATGCAAATAGTCTATTGTTTGTTTTATTTCAGATAATCCATGATCTCTATGGACACTAACATCTCATTGGAACATTGTATTGTAGTAAGCACTTCAGAATGTATTCTTGCTGGAAAAAATACTTTATACTTACTTGCATTAGAATACTGACTGAGAATGCAATAGTTGTTTGGGTTATTTACAGAAGTTGTATCATGAAATATTGATGGTGATGAACTGCTCAGAGATCCAAATGAAGACTGAAATAAGACAAAAACATATTAGGAAAAGGAGAATCAAAATACAGTGAGATAGTTCAGTTTCATCATCATACATAATGCTAAGTCAGTCAATACAGATTGAGTTTCAATAATACATTTCACAGAAATATAATATACATAATGAAGAAAGTGCAATTTTAGTTCCTAGGTTCATTATGTACAGTTGATATAAGGAAGTTAACTTCTTCAAATATATTATAATGCAAATAGTCAAAAATAACATACTACTACTAACTACATATAAATATTTTACCTTTTTATCTAAGGTTCCAGGATGGGGAAATATGAGTCTGTGTACAGAAGAAACAGTGGCAGCCAGTATAACTACATCTCGAGAGGCACTTCTCTCGTACACAGTAATATTGCTCAATGGAGGAGTGCCTGGAGCTACTTTACATCGCAAATTGCAAGATGTTAGATTAATGTCTAGAGACGCCTCAGACAACTCTATTGCATCTGATGTTGTTTGCCTGTAAATTAGAAATAGATATGACAAAATCTTGTTTTGTTGGACAAAGTAACTGTCTATCAAGTGCGAAATTAATATAAACGTACCAATAGATAAATCTATTACGAGTACAAATCTTCTTGGAATCTTTGTACCAGTAGCCACCAGCTTTTTGTGGCAATTTGATGTCTTGCAAAGTGCTGTGGGTTCCGCCTAAAATAAAACCGAAATATAATTTAAAGTATTGAGACTAGTAAAATTCACTTTAAACACCATAGAGAGCGTTGTTCACCTGTGTTCAACACAATTTCTTTCCATTTTTCAGGTAAGTTATAGTTTGGAGTAATTTCCTTGAAGGTAACTGGCATTGCCTCCAAGAACTCCATGATAAACGATGAATTATAGCACAATAGAACTGTTACTGATTAGGTACTAAGGATTATAGCATTATATATTAAATTATTGGGTTAAATTGTTATATTTCCCTACTTGGCGGTCAATTGTTTAGGTTATAACGGAAAGCAAGCGGCAAGTACAAACAACCAAAACCAAAATCATGTGTCATCTGTCAATCAGATAAACTGACAGATACTTACACAGATTACATTCTATTAAGACTTTATCGGTTTAGTTCTATAATTAATAAGCTTTTACAACGCTTTGATTTGCACCAATACCCCGAATCCAAAAGCGCAACTGAATTTATTATATCATCGTGTAGCTGCGGTACGCCGGACGGCTGGATGGTGTATAGAATACCTTTAAGTTTGACAGCATTGCAGCTTTCATTTTATCGATATCTAGTTTGACACTCTCAGCATGCGTGACGTAAATGGTCATCACTAGTAGTGAGTTCGTGAGCGTTTTTGCATCAATTTTTTTCTCAATCTAATACGACTTCATAATTTTTAAGAAGATTTGGATAATATTTCAAAGTTTAATGAATATTACAACATATTTATAACAATTTAAAAGTGCTGAAATCAAATGATGGTTGTTCTCTTTTCAGAAAAGAATCAAAAGGTAAAATTTTGTTCGCATCGATTTTTTTATTTATTTTTATATTTTCGAAAATATTTGATAAAGGCTGTTGGTGCATACTCGCTTTATTAGTTAATTACTTATGCATTGTCTATATAGTTCTGTACAATTTAATATTGACCTATTATCAGACAATTACCTAACCCCGAGCCGTTTGTAAAGCTGACGATGTTTTCAGCATACGCAAACCGTAAAATCCTTATCCTGGAATCTTGAAATACGCACGTACGAGTGTGTAAAAATTGTTAACTGAAACTATAACATACTTACTATCAAACAAAGCTCTATTATCAGCTAAGAATTAAATGACTTGATGTTAGAATTGCTTAAAGTTGATGGAATAATATTTTAACAGCAAGAGAAGACAGTAACAATTGCTTTAATATTTTAATTTACCTTCATTATTTATATGTAGTGATATTTTTTCTTTAAATCTTACCAATATTATAGTTGAAAATGATCATTACATTGGGAATTTGCATACTACTTACCTAATATAGTACTGTGATTTATAAAAATCTGATAGGATGATCATTATGAGAATAATTGATTTTATGAAACCCATTTTTACACATTGGAATAGCACACAAATATCTAATAAAAATCATAAAAGAAGTTACCATACAGTATATACCATAATGATGCACATATGACTGTAGGCATTATGGATATATCTATTTTAAAAGCATTATACTAACTTGTTTTACTGACTTTAACAACTTTAATAAGCCCTATTCTAGCAATCATGCCCTGTCGTTTGAAATGCAAAATGGAGGTAGGTTGAAAAAAATTTGATTTCAATATTGTATGGTCATCAAGATTAAGATTGTGAGTGTATACCAAATATCAGATTGAGGAGTTTTAAGGAGGTGTAAAAAGTTCTATAAATATGACCCAAACAAAGAAACGGAGTAGCATCAATAAAACTGCTTAACTCGTCGAGTACCGTATTTATAGACACAATTAACTCGTCGAGTACCGGTTTTATAGACACAATTAAAGAACAATAGGTTGCGGTCACCGGTGACCGCTTGGTGTTTGACAGTTTAAAGAACAATAGGTTGCGGTCACCGGTGACCGCTTGGTGTTTGACAGTTTAAAAGCCAATTTATCTACTCAGGTTTTAGCCGGAATCTTATTTAGTAGTGTTGTTCTGTTCAGTAATATATTTTTTGCTGTACATTGTATTTTATTTCTCTAATATTTAAAATTGTCATTTAAGTTCGATTATACATAATTTAGTCTAGAATATGCATAATTTGTATGACTTATCATATAGTGCCAGTAAAATATAAAATTTATATACACAGTAGCGCGGTGGCGGGTTGTGAGCACGGCGCGGGAGGCGCAGGGTCGGGTGGCGGCCGACCGGCGGCAGACACTATTCGCCGCGTTAAGGTGAAGATGTCATCAGTGTCGGCGCAGGGCGTCGTGGAGCGCGCCTCCGCCGAACTGTCGCGTCGCATCACAGGGCCTGGGGCTGCGCGGTCGCAAGCGATCCCCCGGTGTAGTAGAGCGCGTCGCTAACGCTCTGTGCGGGCCAGCGACAACCGCAGCAGCCGCGCCGAGAGTACCGCGTCGCCGCCGACCCTCACCCAGGCCTCTATCTTGGAATCAATTTGTATTAGAAGAAAGATTTTTGGAAAAGTTTTTTCTATATTTCAATGCCAATGACAGAAGATCACTAGCACAAGTGTGCACGAGATGGCGTGATATACTTTACTCCTCGCCTCGCTGGTGGACTGGCCTCGTCGCAGTCCTCGACTGCCGGGAGCTGCGCTCAGCTACAGGGTGTTGTATGCAGAGGTTCTACAATTCTCTAGTCAGAAGGGGTATTCGTGGAATAGTATTAGTTTCAGCTTCTGATGACGACATAAATGAATTTATCAGGCAATTTCCTTTGTCCGCCCATCATATACATGCTATTGGTTTAAAAGGATGTACAATAACTGACAGGGGGTTGGAAGCTGTTCTTGATCACCTTCAGGTAAGTGGCTTGCCATGTCATTGTGTGATTTATGCTTATAAATTTATTAAAAAAAAACTTGATCTTAATTTTTATGGAATATCGAAAGTTTTATTCATTTAATTTAGATTCTCTTAACATATTGGAGTATGTTCGCTGATCGGATATAGTTAATAATCATCATTTTATCATCAATCATTGATTCCAATGAAGACAAAACAAACTACTTTTCTCAAAATAACCAAAAAATTGCATGCTAACTTTGATCAGAATTACATCACTATTTGAAAGAAAATTAGTAGATATAGCCAAATAATTGAATTCATGTTTTTAGGTTCTGTTTGAGCTAGAACTAACTGGATGCAATGAAATAACCGAGGCTGGTCTGTGGGCATGTCTAACTCCACGAATTGTCTCTCTCACGCTTACTGATTGCATTAACATTGCTGATGAAGCTGTAAGTATAATTATTCCATAAAATTATTTCATTGATCTTTCGCATTAAACAGAACAATGGCAAATTAAACCCAAGTGCTTGTTTTTATATGTGGCATTGAAGCTTGATCACATGACCAATAAAATAAAAGCAATCAATTCTGTTCTTATATGTTGCTAAACAGATCTATGCACCGTATTGTCACTGTAGTATATTGTTTATTAATTCATTTGAATATATGCACTTCCAACAAACATTTCGAACATACATAGTTCCAAACCACACAGGGGCTCATGATTATGCAGAAACTAGTCGAGTACCCTTAACTCAATACCATTAATTCTCACTCATATAGTTATTTCTTAACCATTTTTTTTTAAGTATCTCATCACCACGCGAATCTATTTCTGTATTTTTCAGGTCGGAGCAGTAGCCCAACTGCTGCCGTCACTATACGAGTTTTCTCTGCAAGCCTATCACGTGACAGACGCTGCTCTAGGCTACTTTTCGCCCAAGCAGAGTGCGTCACTCAGTGTTCTACGTCTGCACAGCTGTTGGGAGCTAACTAATCATGGCGTCGTTAATATTGGTAAAAACAATTTTTTTATGACCGAAGTTATATTCCACGGCCTTATAGGAAACCGACACACCCACAAAACCACTATATGGGAGAAAATTCTACAGGCGAACGTTTAATTTTCGTAAGAAAAAACAACAGCAAATTCTAGTAGATAAAATCATAACAAAAATAAACCACAAAATTGTTCGTGTTATATCGAATGAAAATGTCGTACAATAGTGTGGTGTTCTATTTTGAGACCGACAATGGGCGCCCAATTATTTCAAGTTGATCCCGCCCGACTCGCATGTGAATTAGGGTCAAGGGCCTTTATCCATGTTAGCTTGCCTAAAGGACCCTTTGAAGAGTTTGCCAGAGGTTTAGTATCAGTATCTATACACTATTATACTTGGTAAATGTACATTTCCTGTAAATTCAAGTTACGTTTACTTTTACTTGCTTGCGTTAGATATTTAGAATTCGTTATACAATAGTTATCCAAATTGATTATTAAATTACGTATGATGTATTTATCCAGTGCACTCCCTACCGAACCTGACGGTACTGTCACTGAGCGGGTGCAGCAAGGTGACGGACGAGGGCGTCGAGCTGTTGGCTGAAAATCTCCCGCGCCTGCGCAGCCTCGACCTCAGCTGGTGCCCACGCGTCACTGACAACGCACTCGAGTACATCGCTTGTGATCTCAATCATCTTGAAGAACTTACGTTGGACAGGTTACTATAAGTATTCTACAGTAAATTATTGTAATAATATGTCATATGTCTAAGGCGAAGGCATAGTATAAAGAAAAGGGAAGTAGGCCATCTTCTTCCCAATCCGCGATATAATTGCCTACTGTCTTAGGGTTGTCACTTTTAGTTAAATTACAATTTTTAATATTACATACAAAGATTGTTTACCTTTAGTTAACCACATAAATCGATAGACCTTAGTCAATTACTTATTTTGAATTACGATTTTATAACTGTAATTAGGTAGGTACTTAGTTACTAAACATACCTACAATACTGAGAAATCAACATAACCATAACTAAACGTAAACAAAACAATAGGCGACAATAGCGGCAAATCAATTGCCAGATCAAAAGTACCTACTTAATACATTCTAGTAGGAAATTGGGCCTACCTACTTCCTATGTGATACTGATAGGAAACTAACACAAACAAAAAATAAGTAAGTAGATATCTCATCATCAAGTACAAATTATATTATGCTAGAATAAGTGACTAGCTTATCTTTCCTGTTCAATAATAATCTGAACAGAGACAGTTCTGGCATCGATGAATTATTAAGACACCCAAACACAGCAATACGTTCTTCTACGATTATCAGACATTTTTTATTCATTTAACAGTGCCGAAAAGTGATGCGCGCGCGAACCTCGTGCAGTGTTAGCCCTGCCTGGCGCACTGAGAAACGGGTCGAGATTTTGTTAAAGTGTGCGTGCGTCGACGCATAATACTATGGCGCACACATATAAGCCGCGCGCGGAGCATTTGTATGAAGATAACCTACTTCCCTTTTCTTTATACTATGGCGAGGCCTTATTATAGTCCAGTCAAAGACTTTTTCAATCTACACTGGACTGTATGGTTACAGTTTCATTTGGGTCTCATAATGCAGCTCTACAAAGCATATCATGCTTATCATATCATACATAGTAAAAAGTTAGTTAATGTACAAATAAAACATATTCCAATGTTACGTGTAGGTGTGTACATATAACGGATATCGGCGTGGGCTACATCAGTACGATGCAGTCCCTAGTGGCACTGTTCCTGCGCTGGTGCTCACAGGTGCGCGACTTCGGAGTCCAGCACCTCTGTGGCATGCGCTCACTGCAACTCTTGTCTCTAGCTGGTAAGTGTAATAAGCTATTTTTCTGATATCAACTGATTAAATCTATGCATGTGCTATGCAGTCAGAGGTATAGAAAGCGAGCCTTTTACTGTATGCAAACCGATTCCGTGCAACTACTAAGAATTTTTTTTAAGTCGAAAAACACCCAATTCTCCTTTACCTGCATCGAGGATCAAACCTGAGACCTATTGCTTGGCAGTCGTGCTTATGACCTTACTAACGACAGTTTTAGACACACGAACAACGAATTATTTGTTTTAACTTCTAGGATGTCCACTACTGACATCGGGTGGTTTGTCAAGCCTCATACAACTGCGACAGCTCCGTGAGCTCGAGCTGACGAACTGCCCCGGCGCCTCGCCCGAACTCTTCGATTATCTCCACGAACATTTACCAAGATGCCTAATTATCGAGTAAGGTACAATAGTCCTTATGCTCCTATACATAAACCACATTTTGTCTGACCCGCGATACTAAGTACATATTCTATGTACATAATTTGAATACTTAGCTACACAGTAACTAGTTGTTTGCACCACACATTAATGTGCAATACTTTAAGACATTTTTACTAATTTATTGTTTCCTTTCTAAATTTTGTAAGCACCATGTAAGTACCTATTGTTGTTAAAAGAAGTACATTGAAGATTCCTAAAAAGAGTAGGAAATGTGACGAGTTTTGCAGACTTATGAAAAATATGTGGTGTATTTTTGTTAGTACAATATTAACTTATTTAATGAATTTATATACAGGCTATGTGGCTACGTACCTATTTTGCCGTAGATAGTCGGGTGGTCAGTGCGGGCGTAGAATAAGAAAATACATAAAAATTTCTTCACGCTTCTAGTCCTAGTTTCAAGAAACTATTAAATCAATCCCACCAATTCTATTGACATGTTTCAAAAATTATCATTTTCGTAATGATATTTTAATAGTTTAAATCGCTTCTATGTAGTTATTATTACATACTTTTCAATGCATTGTTAAGTTGTGACCTTAACGTTTTTTAATACATTCCCTTATAGATTTCGTGGCCTTTACGATCTATCTTATTCCTAAACAATTGCTCAAGTTGTGTGATGTCTTGTCGAATTATCTAAGGAAACGTATTTGATGTCGCTATTCATAACATTGTGACGTATTTTCTCTTTGTCACCAAGTTGGGATCAAAGATCGTAAAACCATTTTTGATTTACTGAAGCTTTACCGAGAATAAAGTCTCGTCTATTTCTACAAACAAAGTGACGAGTCTTAAGATATTATTAAAAATAATACAATTACACGAGTGTTTCAAACAGAAACATTTGTGTTAGATTGGGAAGAGCACAGAATATATTTCATTATTTGTAACAAGTAATAGGTATAGTTAATAAATCTTAATTATGTTCCCGATTAACTTTTTAATACCTCTGTAGATACACTACTATGATATTATAGTACCTATCCAATGATTTAAAAATCCTTAAAAATTTAATATGGAAATTATGAAATTTTAAATAGTATAGTAAGAAAAGGTGTTTATTAGATAATTTGTGTGATTTTATGTATAGTGTAATCATTTGAAATCAAATCGCATGATTTGGTGATGTCCATTAGTTAAATGTAATTGATAGATTGCTGATAAGAATAAACATTAATTTTTATATTATTTTGACGGCAGTTATCAGATATTTGATATTAATTATGTAAATAAATCACCCGCAATGTACATTTATAAAAATGAGTAAATAAAAGACCCCGGTATTAATTATTTAACATATATTGATATTGTGTCCCTTTCATTTCTTGTAAATACGGATTACTTGTTAAGTCTGATTAATTCAATTAATTATTTTCTCTTCTGTGCATTTTTTTGTTGTGTGTTTTCAAAACTATAATGCAAACTATTTATTATGACACTTCTATCTATCTCTTAATACTCTAGTCATTCTTTTTTATATTTTAATTCCTTGCTACTTATTTATTAACGACACCTAGAATAATTGTAGATTATAGATATTTACATTAAAAGTGTGATGTTTTAGGAGAATACTGTAGTACAGAAATACCATATAATCACATACAAAGTTTAATATTTTAACTTTACTGTTGTTAAAACTATATATTAACATTTAGGCTGTTACTTGCAAATAGCGTACCCTCGCAGTTCATGTTCAGATGACTAGAAATATGTATGTATAACATTTGATTCAATGACGTATTGTAATTTTTGTTTTTACATAGTTATTTTTAATAATTATTTGCAGAGTTGGTGAGAGAATGTATCTACACTACTCGTGTACAAATGTATATTTGTGATTGTGGTATTTTTTGTTTATATTTTGTAATGGACAATGACCGCAGCCCAACAGTTCTTGAGGTATCTTTGAAAATTAAATTATACACTGCCTCGATTCACAACTGTTTTGGTTAACTACACGAATATTTTACAGACTACAAAGTCAGGTTTTATAAACATGTACTAATTAAGCTGCACTATTATCACTCATTTATAATTTTATAAATTGAAATTAATATCTTGGTGACAGTTGTTGTAATGTGCAGCGGTGTTTGTCCGTCAATCAAATACATAGTGAGTTGTACCGAATAAATACAGCTATTTTAATACCGTCCGAACTAATATTAACGTTTAATTATACTAACGCATTAACCGCAGAAGTTCTTTTTCTGTACCTAAAGTAATATTAAGTACAGTCAGCATTAAATTATAATAATACACAAACTAGCTGACTCTCGCGTAAGCTACTTCTTTGCAACCGTTTTAAACGGTAAAATATTTTCATATATTTCTGTAAGCTAGAATATTTTATATTTTGAATAAAAGAGAGTTGAATATTTTTGCAAGTACTTAATGCTGATGGTACTATAATTCTGGTACAAAGTGTAAAAGATATGAGTGTTTAGTAGATATGTCCTACTATGATAACATTTGAACTTCATTGAGCTTTTTGAACGTTGACTCATTAATAATTGCTTAAAAATTTTGCATTTCATCGTGATAGGAAGATAAGGTGGGTAGGAAAAGGGATTCGTGAGTAAAGTAGTGGAAATTGTAGCATAGAGAAGTACTAGTCGGATATTTGTAATTGGAAACGACTCTATTCAAAGAAAGTATTAGGTAGGTAACAGATCTCCTGAATATAGGCTTTAATTTCTTATGTTCTTAGGAAGATAGATAAAGTTTAGGCCCAAGAAACGACTGATTTGATTGCAGCTTACACGGCATCTATGAAATGCGTGAAATCCTTACCGTTTTTTGGACCTAATTAGATGACAGCCTTGATTTTATGTATTACACTGTACCAATTGTAAGTTAGTAATTAATATTTGAATTAAGTATTGCGCAATGATTTATGTCAAAAAACAGAGGCAATATTTTAAAGCAATTAATAAATAAGACAACGTCCATAGTAAGAATGGAATGTTTCATATTATTGTGTGAGTAGGAGTACTGATGATAATGATTTGAAGTTGCCTTCATTCTTAGTAATATAGCACCTACGGTGATGTTGCTGAATTTGTCAATTTTCATGCAGTAATATAAATAAAATGAAAGCAATAAATTCCAAGACGTGATAACGTCGTCATTATATTATACAGGATGTTTGGAAAATATGGTTTTTCATAGAGCTTCATATGCCAAGCATGCAATACGGACAAAAGTAGAGAATACAACATTACACTTGTGACGAATAAAAATGATTGTATTTATTTACCAAACATTCAGTATTTTGCAATGAATATAAGCGTATATAGATTATGAATGTACATTAAAGTTAGAAGTTAGGTAATGTCTATGTATGTACATACATCTAAAAAATAGATGCAGTCGTTATAGTGTTTGGGTTTACTTGGGAATAAGTTGATCACATACTGTAACTTCACATGTAGCACCTATGAGGTCAGTGACATTGCTGTATCTAGTGCAACACGAACTCTGTAGCGTTCAGACTACGAGCTACAGTACAAATACAGGGAGCACTCTCCCTAGTAAATTCAAGTTTTAATGTTCAAACATCCCTTGTACCTTGATTTTAATTATTTTATAAATCATTCATTGTGTAAATCTGTATGTTGTATATAAAATAATTATTAAAGATGGGTAATAAGTCTATTATATGTAATAATGAAGTTTAATGTTGTTAAAAGATCTGACTACTGCATTATAAAAGGTTGTAATTAAAATGATATGTATATTATGTACAAGCAATAGATAAAGGTCTATTTAACGTAACTCGTAATGTTAATGTTTGAAGAGGTGACTTGACTTCTGATCTTAGCTACTTGAAACTAGTTTACACAATAGTCTTACAATGCGCAATAATAATCACTTTAGATGACTTATAACGAATTTTTTATTTTTATTTTTTTTACACTAGTTAACATGGTTTAAAATTGCAACAAAAATATTATAGACTATGTAAGATTCGGAATATTATTCGCGCACATGCAATGCTTTGTGGTAAACAACAGACAGTCTTATTTGTACTGTAACACAACTGGACAGCTTCGATTCTACCAATGTATCTGTTTGTGTAATAAAAAATCGGTGTGTTACATATTGTTCGTACCCTATGTTCTCATGTACCTATTAGTTTGTGTTGTGATAATGCACCTGCTAGCTATTTAATTGGCTCCACTATATAACATTTGTATTTTAGTATAATATCCCTTTTCGTAATTACGATTTGTACAATACTCAGTGAGATGTTATAGTGCAATATAGATGTACTGTTTTATAAAAGTTTTTCATTTTATACCAATCCTATTTAGGTACTACTCCCATATAGAAATAAAATATTTAAATAGTTTCTTCTTTTCGTTTCTTATGTTACAGATAAAAATAAGTCGCGACACAATTAAAAGATAAAATATATTTTGTACGATTTATTGCGATAACACAGTCTTACAAAACAAATCAGTGATGACAACAAATGCGACACTAATGGTAACTTTAAATTGTTATAGCCCCAAAATCACAATTTTGACTAAGCTTGCATGTCAACAAATAAATAATCAGGAATGATTTCAATACTCATTATTTTACTTCTCACAAAAGCAACAATTTTCGGTACTCAAGGCAAATTAAAATACTTAAAACAAATCCTACTTAATTCTTACGTAAATTGTTAGAAGTAAAATAAGGTGCATTAAAATATCTTTGAAAATAGATTACATTTCATAAAATGTAATTTATAAATATGAAAAAAAAATTGCACAAACTTTTATTCAAGTAGTGAATTACGTCACTACAGAACTGAAACTAAACAAAAATGCACTCAGCACCAGATGTAAAACACTCGACATGTTCAACAAAAATTAAATAATATTTATACACATTTACAAAATATAATGTACGGAAACAGCCCGAGGGTCTTGCTACCAGGCTTAAAATAAGTTTCAAAGAAAACATAAACATTTTATGAGGTGATTTACACCAGTGTTAGAAGCCTCTTTAATATATTTTATAAAGAAACCAATGGGCCCTTTATTTAGTAAGGCTAAATATGTATAACTTTAATTATTTTGTAATAAAAAACAAGTACATGCAAGAATGGCTTATTTAGTAATAATATTGAGTTTAAACCACTATAATATGCACTACAACTCTTACCAAAATTGGTTTATAGCAAATCTACACAGCTTTAATTTGCAGTTACGATAAAAATACTAATTTCTGAAACAACAATTAAAACAACTTTTAAACTGTCTGCCTGACTGGTTACTTCTAACCTTAATAAAACTACTAAGTTGAACTATCAATTTAGCAACAATTCCCAATAACTCGAACCAATCTCATAACACAGACAATTAGCAAATTGTAATTTACAGCTAGCTACAGTCGAATAATGCACACTAAAACTTTGAGCCATTTATAATAACGTAAACTTTCGTAATTGGAAATAAATAATGCAAGATGCAACATTTCTGTAGATTTCGTTGTAGTTTTCAGTCTTGTGTCATTTGGTCCTGAAAATAATTTACTATTGATAATATAACAAAAATAGTATATTTCGGCGGCAGATTATTTTTACTCTACATCATAGCTCAGAATCGGTAAGTTACTGGGGATGTACCGGTTGTGGTCAATGGTAAGGTTGCAAGTACGTCGTGGTGGAAGCGAGGTCCCGACGCAACCAGGCGGCGTTGAGGCGCACGGTCTCGAGTGCTTGCTGCACCGATCGCTCCGTGCCGGGAGACTGGTGAGTGCGGAAGAACTGCTCTATCTCTTGCGCACTAGTTTCGGAGGCGAAGTTTTCAGTGGTAGACTTCACCAATCGAGCAAGTAAGAAGCCACCCTGTAATTATGAAAATTGTTTGTTATA